ACTTGCTAGGGTATGATCATTGTATTATTTGTTCTCTTGTATATAACTCTGCATGTGAACTGGCTTTGTGGCCCTTTGCTTGTGCTCGGACTGTGTGGTGACATTGTGATCCACCCTGAGCTTGCTTTGCTTTTCTTGACTGGTCATGTGTCCCCTTGTTCTCCCCCACTTTGTCTATGGGGGTGTGTCAAACTTATATATAGCTTATATTGTGTAGGCTGTCGTGGGGTAGCCCATAAAGGGTACAACCCAATTAGGGTTAGTACTTGTACCCAACTTCTGCTCAATGCATTCATCCTTGTTCATTATTCTGACAACCTGCACCCAACCTCGTGTTCTCGAGGTTCCTGCCTAGCTAGGTTGACCCGCTATATAATCGCATGCCTTTCATTGTATCGTCAGTTCATTGAGTCACAGCCTCTTTATTCGTTATTCTGCGCAACTCTGTTTTACAGCCTGTCACACCAATCGCGCGAAAACACAATGTAATGGCGACCCTACGCGTTATAGTGTCCCATAAAAGTTACCTGTATACTCTATTCCGGGCCATTTTTAGGTATAATCTACTCTTGCTAGGAAATGTACTAATATGCGATCCAGGTTACTGTGCATATAGAAACACCATATTCATTGTAAAGGAATTTCTGTCGATAATTCATTTTCATACGATATCCGATTCGAAATAACACAAACAGTCTGAATAAAAAGCGTTTTCGGATTATGCCATGCAAAATTCGAATGGTCTTGTCGTATTTGCCCAATTTCGACGACAATTTCTGCTTCGCACAATGAGTTTTATAAAATAATTCTTTTGCGGGATCAGCTGTAAAGTTGACGAATGCGACGGAAGGTGCGAAGCGCAAATCAGCATCCCATTATTGCGCGAGTACCCCGAAACACGAAAAGACTGCTTGGATGATAATAAAGTTTACCCTTCCCGTAATATATACAAAGAAGAATTTTGTTTCCGCACTAGACGACGCCACTAAGATATATATGTATATATAACCAGAAAGGCTTCTTATTTTCAGCTTGGTATTTATTACGGAAACAAAATTCAGCTTGGTATTTACTTCGGTGAGGGTAATCTTTGTTATGATCCGGATAGTCTTCTCGTGTTTCGGGGGTGCACGCCCAAGAATGGAATGCCGATTTGCCTGCGCAGCTTTCGTCACCTGCGACAACTGTACAGCTGATCCAGCGTAACATTTCTTTCATAAAACTCTTGGTGCGAAGCAGAAGTTATCGTCAAAATTTGGCAAATATGATGTGACAATTCGAATTTAGCTTGTCGTGATCCGAAATCGCTTTTGATTCAGACTGTTTGTGTTATTTCGAATCGGATCTCTGATGAAAATAGTTTATCGACAGAGATTCCTTACAACGAATCTGGTGTTCGTACCTGCACAGTAACATGGATCGCCCATGAGTAGATTTCCTAGCAAGAGTAGATTGCACCTGAAAATGGCCCCTCTATTCCAGGTGCAATTGCTCTGTTTTCTCGCGAAAATTCACAAGCCACTCCCAACTCGCCACGCGGCAATTGCCAGCAACAGAGTGTACAGCAGCAACAGCGGAAGTAGCAGTGGCATGGCAATTATCACCAGACCTCTTCTCCAGTAACTTCAGGGATGTCAGGTAGCGTTTGTTTCAAAAAAATCATGTGTTGTACCGAGACTCGTTTTGCATGTAACTGAACTGTTGATGATTTAATCGAGAGGTGACGGGAAACGCACCATTCCTTCGACTGAAACGTTCAGGTTTCAAGCACGTCTGTGAGTAACACACAGCACCTCGCCCAACGATTATCGCAAAGATAATCGCGATTGTCGCCATCACGCTAGCTTTTCGCATATCTCTAAGGCGAGCTTGTGGTTACTTCACAAGCACAGCACTTGTTTTGCGAAAGGATCTTGGGACAATCTGACAGGAACTGTATTGTGTACGCCTGAAGGTACTGTCATGTGAGTTGGAAAACAAAATCCGCAAATTTACGGAAAATCCAGAAATGGACGCTACCTGACGCGCCCTCAGAAGTGAAAACAGGCTGGATGGAGACCCTCGCAGGCTAAAACATCACCCGTGATCTCGAGCGCGCGTGGAGAGACACCCTTGTCACTCCGCAGCTACCTCCCGCCCTTAGCAGTCCACAAGCAGCATCCCTGCACAGTGATCCGCGTGGGTGACTCTCGTCCTCCCTCGTTCGCGCGACCACCACCGCACGTCGCCATGGTGAGTTTAGACGGCCACGCGCCCGCCGTGTGGGCCAGCCCGACTGCGTGAATGGGTAGTAGTCAACAGCTCCGTCTGCGTGAATGGGTAGTAGTCGACAGCTCCGACTGCGTGAATGGGTAGTAGTCGACAGCTCCGACTGCGTGAATGGGTAGTAGTCGACAGCTCCGACTGCGTGAATGGGTAGTAGTCGACAGCTCCGTCTGCGTGAATGGGTAGTAGTCGACAGCTCCGTCTGCGTGTGGGCGTTCGTTAACGATGCTCCGTCTGCCAACTTACGCGTGCGGCTGTTCCGAGCGCGATCATGGGCAAATATGGGCGATTGTGCGCGATGGGCAGTTATGCGCGATAATGGACGATTACGCAGGCTAGTGGGCAATTCAGCTGGCTTATGGGCGATTGTGCGGTATTATAGGATGCGTGTGGGAGATTATGCGGTATTATAGGATGCGGGTGGGAGATTGTGCGGTATTATACGATGCGGGTGGGAGATTATGCGGTATTACTATAGGATGCGGGTGGGAGATTATGCGGTATTATAAGATGCGGGTGGGAGATTATGCGGTATTATAGGATGAGGGTGGGAGGTTATGCGGTATTATTGTTAGGGTTGGTTCGCCCAACCACGGAACCTACGGCGAAAGCTTCTACGACGGCGGAATGACGGCGAAATGGAAGCACGTGGATGATTCTAGGTGAAACGGTGGAAATCGGCCTACGGTGGAGAATGGAAGCTACGGCGTGAGAAGCAAGAGAGAAATTGGGAAGAAACTAGAGAAATGGAGGAAGAAAAGTGAAGAAGTATCGAGATTGGAGTTGACAAGGGGAAATTGTGGTTCGAGACTGAGGCGTGTTCGAGAAGGTGCTGGATTCGGACTCGAGGAGTGTTCGGCGAATTCGGTTCGGTTCCGTGTGCGACTCGGGGTGAAACGAGGCGCACGCGGTTACTTGGGAAACAAGTGAAGTTACGAATCGCATTTTGTGACTTGCCTGACTATAAACCTGTTTGTACTCATTCTGGAAATACAACATTGGACAACATTGAAACCAATCAGATTCTGGAAATTGCTGAAGTGTGTATTGACAACTTCAAGCAGAGCTGCGCATATCGTTGGATTTGGGAGATCGTGGAGAACACGATAAGCAATAGCAAGTAGACTATTGCCGACTAAGGTGTTTACGATCCTAAGAGCTGGTATCAGAGCTTGGCGAACAGGCGCGTCGATCGTCGTGAATTCACTTGGTGCGCTAAGTGAAATTAGTGGAGAAGAGGAGTCGTTCACGCCTACGCCATGGGAGACGAGGCGAGTTCGGGTTCCAGTGTGAGTCTTGGAGACCCGCAGTTGAAGGCTCTTCTCGAGGCCCTTGCGAGTGGCCGATTGGTGGCGAAACCGACGATCGGGCTCAGTGAAGCCCAGCGCTTCAACGGAAGCAACTACAACGTGTGGCGGAAGAAGTTTATTCGGAGGGCAGAGGAGGTTGACCTCTTGCCGTACTACCGTCCCGACGAGGAGACGATGGAGGGAGTTGCGCCATCCCCGACGGATACGAAGGAGAAAATAGCGGCGTTTAAAAAGCTAAGTAAGCAAGCGTTCTTTCAGCTTTGTCACTCAGTTGCCGATGGAATCGCGGTGGATTTGGACCAATTTGCAGGGGAGCTGAACTCTGCACAGAAAGCGTGGGAGTACCTGGAGTCCACGTACATGGGCACGAACGATGTCAACAAGAAGGCGATTAGGAAGCAACTGCTGATGCTGAGCATGGAGAAAGGCGAGAAAATCATCACCTACATCAACAGGGCGAAAAACTACAACGACGACTTGCGGGTGATGGGAGCCGCGGAGACGGAGCACGAGATGATCGACTATATCATCCAAGGCCTTCCTAAGGAGTGGGAATCTGATATCGGTATGTTTACGTACCAACCGCCGGAGAGTTTGACGAAGCTGCAGGAGATTCTACAGTCGCTTGAGACGGTCAAGGAGATGAGGAAAAAGAAAGCGGCAGCAGCAGCTACGGATTTCGACGAGGACAGGCCGGCTTTGGTGAATGCAACGAAGGCGTTTGGAGCGTGCTACCAGTGTGGAAAGAGGGGGCATAAGGCGATAAACTGCTACGAAAATCCGCGAAGCAGAAACTACAAGGGCAAAACGGTGGAGAACGATAAAGGAGAAAATGAGGGAGCAGAGTGACAACAGAAACGAGGTTTTGGCGGCAAATGCGATTATTGTGGGCGCTATGGGCATCGTGCCGCAGAGTGCTACTCCAATCCGAACAGCAGGAGCTACAAGGATCCGTCGCAGCAGAGGAATGTGGCGGCTAAGGCGAATGTAGCGGAAGCGAACGAGGATGATGCGATCCTTGGAGGAGCGCATCGTGCGAACGTGGTGCGTTTACCAAAGGAGGTTCGGCAGACGGACGGACGTGAGAAGACGGCATGGTTCATGGACAGCAGATGCACGCGTCACATGACATTCAGGTCAGATTTGATTGAGAACGTGAGGGAGTCGAGTGAGCGTTATATACTGCAAGGTAACAGTGGGAAGTTACCAGTGACAGGAGAGGGTGACGTGGTGCTGCAGAGTCCGTATGGAGAGATGAGACTGGAGAATGTGCTGCTGGTTGCGGATTTGAAGGTGAACTTGGTCAGTCAGTCACAGCTTGATGACTTGGGGTGCAAGATATTTTATGACAAAGACGAGGTTACAGTGTTTGGTCCTGAGTGGGAGAAGTATGCCGATGGATACTTCAGTGACGGGTTCTATGAGATGAACTTGATAGCGATGAACGACAAGGATGAGATCTATGAGGATCCTGAGTCTACTGAGGTTGATGAGAGCGAGGACACGGATGATACGGGAGCGAGTGTGGAGGCAGCAGTGAAGCAGGAAGAAGAGATAGTCACCATGGAGGCAGCAGCGGTGAATGATGGAGATGGAGATGGTGTCAACACTTTTGCAGCAGCGGTCGTGGTTAAAGATGAAGCAGTAAATGCGAAGTGTGTGGGAGTTGAAGCTGTGAAAGGGGGCATCATGGTGAAGGGATCAAAGGCGAATGCAACTGCAAAGGGGCGAGTGCTTATGAAAGAGGAGTACGTTGAGGGGTACGAGACTCGAGAGGTGTTGGGTGCTAAGATGCCGAGGAGAAGCGAGAGGCTTAAGAAAATCTCTCAAGGTTTGGATGTCAAGGCGCTCAACTTCAAGACACGTAAGCAGAGGTTCAAGGTGCAGGAGCTGCAGGGGAGTGTGAAGGCGACTTAGACCCTGTGAAGGCTACGAGGAACAGGGGAGCAGTGTGAGTGGTGTTCGTGGTTGACGAACCACAGGGGAGATTGTTAGGGTTGGTTCGCCCAACCACGGAACCTACGGCGAAAGCTTCTACGATGGCGGAATGACGGCGAAATGGAAGCACGTGGATGATTCTAGGTGAAACGGTGGAAATCGGCCTACGGTGGAGAATGGAAGCTACGGCGTGAGAAGCAAGAGAGAAATTGGGAAGATTCTAGAGAAATGGAGGAAGAAGAGTGAAGAAGTATCGAGATTGGAGTTGACAAGGGGAAATTGTGGTTCGAGACTGAGGCGTGTTCGAGAAGGTGCTGGATTCGGACTCGAGGAGTGTTCGGCGAATTCGGTTCGGTTCCGTGTGCGACTCGGGGTGAAACGAGGCGCACGCGGTTACTTGGGAAACAAGTGAAGTTACGAATCGCATTTTGTGACTTGCCTGACTATAAACCTGTTTGTACTCATTCTGGAAATACAACATTGGACAACATTGAAACCAATCAGATTCTGGAAATTGCTGAAGTGTGTATTGACAACTTCAAGCAGAGCTGCGCATATCGTTGGATTTGGGAGATCGTGGAGAACACGATAAGCAATAGCAAGTAGACTATTGCCGACTAAGGTGTTTACGATCCTAAGAATTATAGGATGTGGGTGGGATTTTATGCGGTATTATAGGATGCGGGGTGGGAGATTATGTGGTATTATAGGATGAGGGTGGGAGATTATGCGGTATTATTGGATGTGTGTGGGAGATTATGCGGTATTATAGGATGCGGGTGGGAGATTATGCGGTATTATAGGATGTGGGTGGGAGATTATGCGGTATTATAGGATGTGGGTGGGAGATTATGCGGTATTATAGGATGCGGGTGGGAGATTATGCGGTATTATAGGATGTGGGTGGGAGATTATGCGGTATTATCGGACGCTGAGGACTCCGAAGTACGCTTGTTGAGGCGAGGGTGGCGGCGAGGAGGCGGAAGGGGCGATTGGTAAGGGAGGGTGAAGACGTGGAGGGCGCGTAGCAGGGGGACTGGAGAATATGGAGGGTAATTGAGAGGAGAGTGAAGGATTACGAGGGTAATTTACAGGGAGAGTGGACGATTTGGAGGGTAATTGACACGGAGAGTGGAGGATTTGGAGGGTAATTGACTGGAAGAGAGGAGAGGAACGGAGTGAGGGGAAGAAAGAGGGGAGGGAGGGCATATGGCAGTGATAGAGAGGAGGAAAGGGATGGTATGGACAGGTAGAGAGGGGATACTAGGGAGCGCAATCAATAAACAGGGAAAGAGGGAAGGAAAGGGAGGGGGATTGACAGGGGGAGGGCGGGAAAGGGAGGGAGATTGGGCGAGAGAGGAGGAAGGGAATGATAATATCCAGTGAGAAACAGGAGAGGAAAGGGAGGGTAGTTAAGCGAGAAAAAAGGGAGGAAAAGGTAGGTAGATTCACACGGATTGGAGGGAGCATATGGAGGGCAAGCTCTTAGCAGGATTAGGATGTTAGCAGGGTTGTCACTGGGCATCCGCGTGTAGCATAATACATGCTAGCGATTAGCCATAAGCACTGGCTGGGCGCCAAAGCGTCTGCTCGAAATTCTCTTTTCCGTGTAGGTTACAAACAAGCATGGGCAGGACGGATACAGGGTGCTGAACACTACTCCTCCCTCCAACATCACCTGCGGGTTTGCAAATTCGCAAAAGTTATGGAATTGTTTTGCACCCTTTTCTGGTTAGCCAGGCGGTTAGTTCTATATGCTCGCGAGGAAGTGCATTCACCATCGCAGTGCAGCGCTTCACATATGCGAAAGTAGCCTTGACATGTGATCCCAATCATCGCACCTCCTTCCTCACACCTGCACTCACAACACAGCTCTCTCTTTTCCCGCTGCTCGCCCCTGTCCCTCTCCCTCCATTCCGCCATCTCGCAGGGGCCCACTCCAATCCCCTCCTCCAACCGCGCCTTCCGCGGCAGCAGCCAGTGCTCCCCGTTGCAGCCCGCGGCGGGCGGCGGGCAGCGGCAGGCGCGGGGCCAGGGGAAGCAGCAGCAGCAGCAGCAGCAGCAGCAGCAGCAGCAGCAGCAGCAGCAGCAGCAGCAGTACACGCGGCGGCAAGTGAGCGCTAGCAGCAGCGCTGCCAGCAGCAGCAGTGGCAGCAGTGGCGGCAGCAGTGGCAGCAGTGGCGGCAGCAGTGGCATCAGTGGCAGCAGCAGTGGCAGCGGTGGCACGCACCCCTCGGGCAGTGAGGACTGGGGGAGCCATGGCACGGATGACTGCGAGCGGGGGGGCGAGCAGGAGCAAGTGGTGAGCACGAGGTACACTCGGAGGTGCGGAAGGTCTGGGTCCGATGCTGTGGTTGGGGTGGGAAGGGCTGCAGGGACGGAGAGGGCAGAGAACGAAGGGCTGATCCTGGCCCTTGGGTGCGTTGATGCGGGTGGTGCAGGGAATGGGAATGGCGTGCTGGTGCAGAGTCGTGGCAGGGGAGGCGGTGCTGCCAGGGGGAGGAAACGGAAGGGTGCGCCGAAGACGACATGGGGGAGGGGGAAGAAGGCGAAGAACGCAAGAAAGAAGCGCCGCAGCAGTGGAGGTAGCAGCGATGGGTCAGATGCTGGGGAGGAGGATGAGGATGCAGGCAGCGAGGAAGATGGGGAGAGGGATGAGGAGGATGGGAAGCAGGAGGCGGAGCACAAGGAGAGGGATGTGGGCGACGAGGACGATGGGGAGAGGGGTGAGGAGGATGGGACGGAAGAGGAAGGCGAGGAGGACAGGGAGGGGGACGAGGAGGAAAGGGAGGGGGACGAGGAGGAAAGGGAGGGGGACGAGGAGGAAAGGGAGGGGGACAAGGAGGATGAGAAGGTGGTGGGTGGAGTGAAGCGCATGCTGCAGCTGTACAGCCTGTTCAACCGGCGGGCCATCAAGGTGCGCTGCGAGGGGCATGAGGGAGAGGTGGGAGGGGCATGAGGGAGAGGTGGGAGGGGCATGAGGGAGAGGTGGGAGGGGCATGAGGGTGAGGTGGGAGGGGCATGAGGGAGAGGTGGGAGGGGCATGAGGGTGAGGTGGGAGGGGCATGAGGGTGAGGTGGGAGGGGCATGAGGGAGAGGTGGGAGGGGCATGAGGGTGAGGTGGGAGGGGCATGAGGGTGAGGTGGGAGGGGCATGAGGGTGAGGTGGGAGGGCATGAGGGTGAGGTGGGAGGGGCATGAGGGAGAGGTGGGAGGGGCATGAGGGAGAGGTGGGAGGGCATGAGGGTGAGGTGGGAGGGCATGAGGAAGAGGTGGGAGGGCATGAGGGAGAGGTGGGAGGGGCATGAGGGTGAGGTGGGAGGGGCATGAGGGAGAGGTGGGAGGGGCATGAGGGAGAGGTGGGAGGGCATGAGGGTGAGGTGGGAGGGCATGAGGGAGAGGTGTGAGGGGCATGAGGGTGAGGTGGGAGGGGCATGAGGGTGAGGTGGGAGGGCATGAGGGTGAGGTGGGAGGGCATGAGGGTGAGGTGGGAGGGGCATGAGGGAGAGGTGGGAGGGGCATGAGGGAGAGGTGGGAGGGGCATGAGGGTGAGGTGGGAGGGGCATGAGGGTGAGGTGGGAGGGGCATGAGGGTGAGGTGGGAGGGGCATGAGGGAGAGGTGGGAGGAGCATGAGGGTGAGGTGGGAGGGGCATGAGGGTGAGGTGGGAGGGGCATGAGGGAGAGGTGGGAGGGGCATGAGGGTGAGGTGGGAGGGGCATGAGGGTGAGGTGGGAGGGGCATGAGGGTGAGGTGGGAGGGCATGAGGGTGAGGTGGGAGGGGCATGAGGGAGAGGTGGGAGGGGCATGAGGGAGAGGTGGGAGTGAAAGAATCTCAAGTGTTGTCTTGATTAGAAAGAGTGTCGGTACATATAGGAGATGAGAAGTTTTGGGAACGAAGTGGGGTACCCTCAGCATTTATTGGTGGACCAATCAGATTGGGTCGACCAACAATTGCTGGGGTAACCAACAATCGTTGGAGGGGACCATTATTGGCCCCCCCCCGTCAATTGCGGTCGAGTTGGGTTTGGGGGCGCCCAACCAAAATTGGTTGGGTCGCCTTGACCCAAAGTGTACACCCACTTTAGGGTGTAACACATGCACAAATATAAACATACATTATGCTATATTCTAACACAACCCCGTAGCATAAGAGGTTTATAAGTGTGCACAACCCCGGAATCATGAAGCCGGGGAGAGGCCAAGAAGGCGAAGGAAGGCCCGGTGGGCTAGCTTCGGAAGAGCTTTGGTGAAGATGTCAGCGAGGTTGGCTTCGGCGGCAATTTTTCGGACGGCAAGATGGCCTTGCTGGACAAGATCGCGAATGTAGAAGTAGCGTAGTTCGATGTGTTTGGAGCGCCCGTGGAAGACCGGATTCTTGGTGAGGTGGATCGTGCTGGCGTTGTCGCACCAGAGCGTGGGGCATGGCTGGGGGGCCCCAAGCTCGGCTAGCAAGAAGGAAAGCCAGCGTCCTTCCTGCGCAGCCATGGTACCAGCATAGAGTTCGGCTTCACAAGATGAGAGGGCGATGGCGGAGGAGCGGGTGGAGCGCCAGCTGACCAAGCCGCTACCGAGCGTGAAGCCATATCCTTGGGAAGAGCGGCGATCCGGCTGAGAGTCTGCCCAAGACGAGTCACTGAAGCCGGTGAGGAGCGGGGGAGAGGCACCACCAAGGGTGAGAACATGGTCCTGAGTGCCACGGAGGTAGCGTAGGACTCGTTTGGCGGCTCTCCAATGCACGGAAGTGTGACGACCGGTACCGACGAAACGCGCCAGGACGCTGATGGGGTAGGCGAGGTCGGGACGGGTCCCCATCATGGCATACATGATGGAGCCAACCAGTTCCGCATAGGGCTGAGTGGAGGCGGAGGGGGAGGTGGGTGGAGCAAGCCCATGGCCGAATGGAAGGGGAGTGGCCACTGGGTTGGCGAGAGCCATGTCGAACCGCTCCAACACCTGCTGAAGATAGTGAGATTGAGATAAGGTGATGGTGCGGGCAGCTCGATCGCGTGTGATCTCCATGCCCAAGTAGTGGCGTAATTCGCCAAGGTCCTTGCACTGGAGACGAGCTTGTAGTTCTTCCTTAACGTCGGTCATGTCGGCGGAGGTGTCGGCGAGGAGCACCATGTCGTCAACATAGACTAGGACGAAGAAGCGGCTGGGACGGGTCCGAATGAAGAGACTGGCGTCAGAGTGAGATGGTTGAAATCCGAGAGCACAGAGTGTAGATGCCAGCTTAGCATGCCATTCCCGAGGAGCCTGCTTCAGGCCGTAGACTGGACGGCGTAGTTCCCAGACAGTGTCTGGTGGGAAGGCTTCATGGAAGCCATCTGGGCGGTCGAGGAAGATTTGTTCGTGGAGGTTCCCCTGAAGAAAAGCGTTAGAGACATCCATTGATGAGATCTCCATGCCGTTGCGGGAGCCAAAGTCGAGAAGCGTGCGAAGGGTCCCGAATTTTGCGGTAGGTGAGAAGGTTTCCCAAAAGTCCTTGGCATAGGTCTGTGTGAAGCCCTTGGCGCAGTAACGGGCTTTGTAGACGGGCTCCTCCCCCGGAAGCTGCTTCACCCGGAAGACCCACTTGCCAGCGACAATGTTGGCATCTGGAGGCGGCTTGACATCGACGAAGGAATCATTGCGAATGAAGGCGTTGCACTCCTTGCGAATGGCCTCCAGCCATTTGTCAGCGTCAGGGCACGTGATTGCCTCCTGGAATGTGGTAGGCGTGAAGATGAGAGGTGAGGAGGGAGTGCCAAGTACAACCGCGCCCAAAAGGGCAAGGTACACAGGGTTAAGGGAAGGAACGTGAGTGTGAATGGCACAAAACTCCTCATGGGAGTCTTCATGAATGAGAGGTGGTTGACCAAGAATGGGGTCAAGGGAGCGAGTGTGCATGCGTGGGAGGAGGAAGGGAGAGCGTGAGGTGAGAGAAGTGCGAGGACGTGGGGAGGATGCAGGAGGTGCGGCGGGCGAGGATGGAGGAGGAGAAGCTGGAGGGAGGTGGGTGGGAGGGGAGGGAGGAGGGGGAGAGGGAGGAGGGGGAGCGGTGGAAAGGGCAGGTGAGGCAGCAGGATCATAGATATCAGCCGAGGAAGGTGGAGGTGAGAGTGGAGTAGTTGGGAGGAGTGGAGCAGATGGGAGGAGAGGAGGAAGAAGGGCATCCGCCCAGGTGAGTGGGCGGGAGGGTGGGGGGAGAGGGTCGGAGGGAGGAGGAGAGGAGTAGTAGGGGATGGTTTCATCGAAGACGACATCGCGGCTGCGAATGAGGCGTCCGGAGGGAGGATGAAGGAAGAGGTACCCAGGAGAGCCACGATTGTGGCCGAGGTAGACGCACTCCAATGCTTTGGAGGCAAGTTTTCCTGCTTTGCGGGAACGGTCTGCGGGAGGAATGAGAACAAAGTATTTGCAGCCCCAGACGCGAAGGACGGAGGCATCAGGTTTGGAGTTGCACCAAAGCTCAGTGGGAGTGAGGTTGGGATGGTGGGGGTGAGGGTAGAGGTTGGTGAGAAGGGCGGCATGAGTGAGAGCATAGCCCCAAAGGGAGGGAGGGGTAGATGCATGGGTGAGGAGACAGCGGGCAGTTTTGGTGATCTCACGGATGCGACTTTCAGCTACACCGTTTTGTTGCGGAGAATGAGGGAGAGTGGACGTCTGTTGAGTGCCATGTGCTTTGCAGTAGGAGGCAATGGTATGGTTGAGAAACTCCCCGCCACCGTCAGAGTGAAGGCGACGGATGGGTCGGCCGAAGTGCACGCGCGCTTGTTCGGCCCAGGCGATGATGACAGCGGCTGCTTCAGCTTTCGTGTGGAGTAGAAACACAGAGGAGTAGCGGCTATGGTCGTCTACGAGGACGAGCATAAAGCGGTGGCCCTGGCGGGAAGGGGAGGGGGAGGGACCCCAGAGGTCCATGTGGACGAGATCTAGGGGAGCAGTAGCAAATGAGGGATGGCTGTGATGGGGTTTTTGTTTGAGTTTGCCATGAATGCAAGTGGGACAAGGAGGAGCTGGTGAGGTGGGTAGGGGAGGAAGGGCAGGGGGGAGCCCATGAAGGAGGCGAGAGGATATTGCGGCACGGAGGGTGGTGAAGTTGGGGTGACCAAGACGGTGATGGAGGAGAATGGCGGGGTGAGAGAGGGAGAGGTCGGGAGAGGTAGAGGGAGTGGGAGATGATGAAGGGGGAGGAGCAATGGTGGGAGAAGGGTAGGTGGAGCGACGGGTGGTGAGATGACATGATGCCGGAAAAGGGAGACGTAGTGTGTAAAGGTGAGTGCGGGGGCAGATTGGGAGGCGATAGACAAGGCGGCCAGTGGAGGTATGAATGAGATCGCAATAGGAAAAGTGGGCAGGAAAAATGGCGGTAATGCCGGCTTTTTGGAGATCATGAAGAGAAATAAGGTTGTGACGAAGAGTGGGAATGTGGAGGCCAGTGATAGTGCCGGAGGGAAAGAGGGGACACGGAAGAGTAGAGGAGTGTGTGCATGGGATCGAGAAGCTAGAATCAGCGCCATGAACAGTGGAGGGGAGAGATAGTGTTTTGAGAATGCCAGCGTCCTTCAGGGCACTGACGGTGGCCCCGCTATCGAGGACAAAGTCCAAGGTGAGCGGGGAAGGAGACGCAGAATACTGGAAGTCACTGTTATTAAGAACAGAGGGATACATGGAGGTGGTGCTAGGCAAGGGAGAAGCTAGCTGACCAAGAAAGCTAGAGTATGACTCAGCTGGGGAGGTATGGGCGGCGGTGGCGGCAGAACCGAAGCCAAGAGGTTGCTGCTGCCAGGCGGCAGTTGCTGCTGCTGCTGCTGCTGCTGCTGCTGCCGCTGCCGCTGCTGTGGCGGCTGCGCCTCCCCCACCTCCCCAGGGCGGCTGCTGTGGCTGCTGGTGCGGCTGCGGCTGTGGGGGCAGCTGCGGGGGCTGCTGCAACTGCTGTGACTGAAGATGCTGCAAAAACTGCTGGAGTTGCAGTTGAGGAGAGGGAGTGGTGAGGTTAAGGTGGGAGGGTTGATAGAGAGGGAGATGTTGAACATCATGGACAGTGGGACGACTTGCAAGAGCGGACCAGCGGGGGGGGGTACCATGGTTACCACGATCAAACCAGGCATCGTCCAAGACGCCGAAGCAGGTGGTTATGGGGTGGTTGGTTTGACCGCAGGGTTCCCCAGCGCGAGGGCCGTGACGGCGAACGTAGGGGCAGGGGGGGAGTTGACCAGGTCCGCTACCACCACGTCCACTTCCTCCAGGGCCGCCCGTGCAAGAAGGAGTGCGTCCACCAAAGGTGCCACCACGTCCACCACCACGGCCGCCACCACGCCCACCTCCACGTCCGCCACCGCGACCACCACCACGCCCACCACCGCGTGTCTGGGTGGCGTTGAGTTCTGGCGCGGGTGCTTGAGCCGTGTTGAGAGAAGGCGGGTTGGTACGAAGGAGGCGGGTTTCGGTGTCAATGATCCATTGAACGACAGCAGCAACATCCGCAAACGGCTGATTTTCGCGGAAGGCAATGACGTGCATGTCGTAGGACGGGTTGAGACCGCGGAGAAGGCGATCTATCTGGATGAACTGGCGAGCCTTAAGTCGCTTGGCGAGAGAGGTCATGCGGCCGGTGTAGGCGACGGCACCAGTGCAGGTTGCGAGCGTTGTCTCCCAGTATTCGTCAAGGAGCAGCCCCACGGAGTTGACGTCATGGCGCTCAAACATGGCGTGAAGGGAGGCCCAAAGGGCAGGTGCGTGAAGCTCTTGTTCCTGAAAGTCTCGCATTAGAGCGGGGGGGAGACCACCAAGGATAATATTAGAGGCAGAAAGGTCAGATTCCTTCCAAGCAGCAGCTTTAGCGGTATATTCAGCGAGCGCGAGAGTGTAGCGGTCAGCCATGGTGCGGTGATTTATTATGGCAGCTTGGCGCATGTCGTATTGCTCGCGAGCCGCACGATGGTCCGCTCGGAGCGTGAGGAACCGACGCCGCTCGAGATCGTAGGCTGCTTCATCAGCGGCTTGGCGAACAGGATCCGTGGAGGCAGCGGGCAGATCTGGTTCGTCAGGTTCAGGTCCAGGGTCAGGCGGGAGAGTGGGGGCCGATCCAGGGGACATAGGGGGCGTTGGCGGGAGAGCGGCAGCATGGCGGAGGACAAGGTCGAGGAGGGTGGAGGAGGTGTTGGGGATGTGGATGACGCCGAGGAGGCGGCGCATGCTCCCTGTGTAGGAGTACCAGTTGATAGCGCTCTGATCGGGAGCGAGCTCGAGCCGATCAATGGAGAGAGTGTTGAAATTCTGAGGAAGAGAAGGAGCAGCCATAGCAGTAATTTAGTGCGATGTGAGGGGAGAAAAAATGTTAGTAGCGAGCGAAAGCGAGGCAGGTTAGAAGCTGAGGGAGAGGAGGAGGGGGGTTAGTAGCAGCACGTGGGAGAGGATTGGGAGCAGTAGCGTGGCAGGAGAGGCGGAGAGCAGAGATAGTATGAGAGAGGCAGCGGGAGAGGAAACGGTGGGCGGAAGCAATGGGGGGGGTGGGGAAGGGTCGAGGGAGCGGCGGGGAGGAAGAGATGAGGCAGTAGCTAAGTGCCTGGCGGCGAGGGAGAGTAGGAGCAGCCGCGGCGAAGTGTCTTGCAGCGAGGAGAGGCAGTGGCGGCGGCAAATTGCCCGCAGCGAGTGAGTAGAGGCGGCGGAGGCGAAATGCCCCGCGGCGAGTGGGAGCAGTGGCGGCGGCGGCGAAATGCCCCGCGGCGAGTGGGAGCAGTGGCGGCGGCGGCGAAATGCCCCGCGGCGAGTGGAGTAGTGGCGGCGGAGGCGAAATGCCCCGCGGCGAGTGGGAGCAGTGGCGGCGGAGGCGAAATGCCCCGCGGCGAGTGGGAGCAGTGGTGGCGGCGGCGAAATGCCCCGCGGCGAGTGGGAGCAGAGGCGGCGGCGGCGAAATGCCCCGCGGCGAGTGGGAGCAGTGGCGGCGGCGGCGAAATGCCCCGCGGCGAGTGGAGTAGTGGCGGCGGAGGCGAAATGCCCCGCGGCGAGTGGGAGCAGTGGCGGCGGCGGCGAAATGCCCCGCGGCGAGTGGGAGCAGTGGCGGCGGCGGCGAAATGCCCCGCGGCGAGTGAAGCAGCGGCGGCGGCGGCGAAATGCCCGCAAGGAAGAAAAGCGGTGCGAGAGTAGTGGCGACGGCGGATAGGTCGCGGCGATTGAGACGCCGGCAGCTGAGAACGTAAATGCGGCGGCAGGAGCTGAGGCGAGAAATTCGCCTTACGAGAGATAGAGTAGGAGCTGGAGGGAGGTGGTGACTGGTTGTACTTTACGGAAGATTGAACTTCAACCAAGTCAAACCCACGCAACAAGTTGCATGGGCAGGACGGAAGGGTCCTGACGAGCGGGAAGGAAAAAAAACTTGAGAGAAAGAGGTCGAGAGGGGCGTTTGCCAATTGGCTCTGAATACCATGAAAGAATCTCAAGTGTTGTCTTGATTAGAAAGAGTGTCGGTACATATAGGAGATGAGAAGTTTTGGGAACGAAGTGGGGTACCCTCAGCATTTATTGGTGGACCAATCAGATTGGGTCGACCAACAATTGCTGGGGTAACCAACAATCGTTGGAGGGGACCATTATTGGCCCCCCCCCGTCAATTGCGGTCGAGTTGGGTTTGGGGGCGCCCAACCAAAATTGGTTGGGTCGCCTTGACCCAAAGTGTACACCCACTTTAGGGTGTAACACATGCACAAATATAAACATACATTATGCTATATTCTAACAGGGAGGGCATGAGGGTGAGGTGGGAGGGCATGAGGGAGAGGTGGGAGGGCATGAGGGAGAGGTGGGAGGGGCATGAGGGTGAGGTGGGAGGGGCATGAGGGAGAGGTGGGAGGGGCATGAGGGAGAGGTGGGAGGGCATGAGGGTGAGGTGGGAGGGCATGAGGGTGAGGTGGGAGGGGCATGAGGGAGAGGTGGGAGGGGCATGAGGGAGAGGTGGGAGGGGCATGAGGGTGAGGTGGGAGGGGCACGAGGGAGAGGTGGGAGGGGTATGAGGGTGAGGTGGGAGGGGCATGAGGGAGAGGTGGGAGGGGCATGAGGGAGAGGTGGGAGGGGCATGAGGGTGAGGTGGGAGGGGCATGAGGGTGAGGTGGGAGGGGCATGAGGGTGAGGTGGGAGGGCATGAGGGTGAGGTGGGAGGGGCATGAGGGAGAGGTGGGAGGGCATGAGGGTGAGGTGGGAGGGCATGAGGGAGAGGTGGGAGGGCATGAGGGTGAGGTGGGAGGGGCATGAGGGTGAGGTGGGAGGGGCATGAGGGAGAGGTGGGAGGGGCATGAGGGAGAGGTGGGAGGGGCATGAGGGTGAGGTGGGAGGGGCATGAGGGTGAGGTGGGAGGGCATGAGGGTGAGGTGGGAGGGCATGAGGGAGAGGTGTGAGGGGCATGAGGGTGAGGTGATAGGGGCATGAGGGTGAGGTGGGAGGGCATGAGGGTGAGGTGGGAGGGCATGAGGGTGAGGTGGGAGGGGCATGAGGGAGAGGTGGGAGGGGCATGAGGGAGAGGTGGGAGGGGCATGAGGGTGAGGTGGGAGGGGCATGAGGGTGAGGTGGGAGGGGCATGAGGGTGAGGTGGGAGGGGCATGAGGGAGAGGTGGGAGGGGCATGAGGGTGAGGTGGGAGGGGCATGAGGGTGAGGTGGGAGGGGCATGAGGGAGAGGTGGGAGGGGCATGAGGGTGAGGTGGGAGGGGCATGAGGGTGAGGTGGGAGGGGCATGAGGGTGAGGTGGGAGGGCATGAGGGTGAGGTGGGAGGGGCATGAGGGAGAGGTGGGAGGGGCATGAGGGTGAGGTGGGAGGGGCATGAGGGTGAGGTGGGAGGGGCATGAGGGAGAGGTGGGAGGGGCATGAGGGTGAGGTGGGAGGGGCATGAGGGTGAGGTGGGAGGGGCATGAGGGTGAGGTGGGAGGGCATGAGGGTGAGGTGGGAGGGGCATGAGGGAGAGGTGGGAGGGGCATGAGGGAGAGGTGGGAGGGCATGAGGGTGAGGTGGGAGGGCATGAGGAAGAGGTGGGAGGGCATGAGGGAGAGGTGGGAGGGGCATGAGGGTGAGGTGGGAGGGGCATGAGGGAGAGGTGGGAGGGGCATGAGGGAGAGGTGGGAGGGCATGAGGGTGAGGTGGGAGGGCATGAGGGAGAGGTGTGAGGGGCATGAGGGTGAGGTGGGAGGGGCATGAGGGTGAGGTGGGAGGGCATGAGGGTGAGGTGGGAGGGCATGAGGGTGAGGTGGGAGGGGCATGAGGGAGAGGTGGGAGGGGCATGAGGGAGAGGTGGGAGGGGCATGAGGGTGAGGTGGGAGGGGCATGAGGGTGAGGTGGGAGGGGCATGAGGGTGAGGTGGGAGGGGCATGAGGGAGAGGTGGGAGGGGCATGAGGGTGAGGTGGGAGGGGCATGAGGGTGAGGTGGGAGGGGCATGAGGGAGAGGTGGGAGGGGCATGAGGGTGAGGTGGGAGGGGCATGAGGGTGAGGTGGGAGGGGCATGAGGGTGAGGTGGGAGGGCATGAGGGTGAGGTGGGAGGGGCATGAGGGAGAGGTGGGAGGGGCATGAGGGAGAGGTGGGAGGGCATGAGGGTGAGGTGGGAGGGCATGAGGGAGAGGTGGGAGGGCATGAGGGAGAGGTGGGAGGGGCATGAGGGTGAGGTGGGAGGGGCATGAGGGAGAGGTGGGAGGGGCATGAGGGAGAGGTGGGAGGGCATGAGGGTGAGGTGGGAGGGCATGAGGGTGAGGTGGGAGGGGCATGAGGGAGAGGTGGGAGGGGCATGAGGGAGAGGTGGGAGGGGCATGAGGGTGAGGTGGGAGGGGCACGAGGGAGAGGTGGGAGGGGTATGAGGGTGAGGTGGGAGGGGCATGAGGGTGAGGTGGGAGGGGCATGAGGGAGAGGTGGGAGGGGCATGAGGGTGAGGTGGGAGGGGCATGAGGGTGAGGTGGGAGGGGCATGAGGGTGAGGTGGGAGGGCATGAGGGTGAGGTGGGAGGGGCATGAGGGAGAGGTGGGAGGGCATGAGGGTGAGGTGGGAGGGCATGAGGGAGAGGTGGGAGGGCATGAGGGTGAGGTGGGAGGGGCATGAGGGTGAGGTGGGAGGGGCATGAGGGAGAGGTGGGAGGGGCATGAGGGAGAGGTGGGAGGGGCATGAGGGTGAGGTGGGAGGGGCATGAGGGTGAGGTGGGAGGGCATGAGGGTGAGGTGGGAGGGCATGAGGGAGAGGTGTGAGGGGCATGAGGGTGAGGTGATAGGGGCATGAGGGTGAGGTGGGAGGGCATGAGGGTGAGGTGGGAGGGCATGAGGGTGAGGTGGGAGGGGCATGAGGGAGAGGTGGGAGGGGCATGAGGGAGAGGTGGGAGGGGCATGAGGGTGAGGTGGGAGGGGCATGAGGGTGAGGTGGGAGGGGCATGAGGGTGAGGTGGGAGGGGCATGAGGGAGAGGTGGGAGGGGCATGAGGGTGAGGTGGGAGGGGCATGAGGGTGAGGTGGGAGGGGCATGGGGGAGAGGTGGGAGGGGCATGAGGGTGAGGTGGGAGGGGCATGAGGGTGAGGTGGGAGGGGCATGAGGGTGAGGTGGGAGGGGCATGAGGGTGAGGTGGGAGGGGCATGAGGGTGAGGTGGGAGGGGCATGAGGGAGAGGTGGGAGGGGCATGAGGGTGAGGTGGGAGGGGCATGAGGGTGAGGTGGGAGGGCATGAGGGTGAGGTGGGAGGGGCATGAGGGAGAGGTGGGAGGGGCATGAGGGAGAGGTGGGAGGGCATGAGGGTGAGGTGGGAGGGCATGAGGGAGAGGTGGGAGGGCATGAGGGAGAGGTGGGAGGGGCATGAGGGTGAGGTGGGAGGGGCATGAGGGAGAGGTGGGAGGGGCATGAGGGAGAGGTGGGAGGGCATGAGGGTGAGGTGGGAGGGCATGAGGGTGAGGTGGGAGGGGCATGAGGGAGAGGTGGGAGGGGCATGAGGGAGAGGTGGGAGGGGCATGAGGGAGAGGTGGGAGGGGCATGAGGGTGAGGTGGGAGGGGCACGAGGGAGAGGTGGGAGGGGTATGAGGGTGAGGTGGGAGGGGCATGAGGGTGAGGTGGGAGGGGCATGAGGGAGAGGTGGGAGGGGCATGAGGGTGAGGTGGGAGGGGCATGAGGGTGAGGTGGGAGGGCATGAGGGTGAGGTGGGAGGGGCATGAGGGAGAGGTGGGAGGGCATGAGGGTGAGGTGGGAGGGCATGAGGGAGAGGTGGGAGGGCATGAGGGTGAGGTGGGAGGGGCATGAGGGTGAGGTGGGAGGGGCATGAGGGAGAGGTGGGAGGGGCATGAGGGAGAGGTGGGAGGGGCATGAGGGTGAGGTGGGAGGGGCATGAGGGAGAGGTGGGAGGGGCATGAGGGTGAGGTGGGAGGGGCATGAGGGAGAGGTGGGAGGGGCATGAGGGTGAGGTGGGAGGGGCATGAGGGTGAGGTGGGAGGGGCATGGGGGAGAGGTGGGAGGGGCATGAGGGTGAGGTGGGAGGGGCATGAGGGTGAGGTGGGAGGGGCATGAGGGTGAGGTGGGAGGGGCATGAGGGTGAGGTGGGAGGGGCATGAGGGTGAGGTGGGAGGGGCATGAGGGAGAGGTGGGAGGGGCATGAGGGTGAGGTGGGAGGGCATGAGGGAGAGGTGGGAGGGCATGAGGGAGAGGTGGGAGGGGCATGAGGGTGAGGTGGGAGGGGCATGAGGGAGAGGTGGGAGGGGCATGAGGGAGAGGTGGGAGGGCATGAGGGTGAGGTGGGAGGGCATGAGGGTGAGGTGGGAGGGGCATGAGGGAGAGGTGGGAGGGGCATGAGGGAGAGGTGGGAGGGGCATGAGGGAGAGGTGGGAGGGGCATGAGGGTGAGGTGGGAGGGGCACGAGGGAGAGGTGGGAGGGGTATGAGGGTGAGGTGGGAGGGGCATGAGGGTGAGGTGGGAGGGGCATGAGGGAGAGGTGGGAGGGGCATGAGGGTGAGGTGGGAGGGGCATGAGGGTGAGGTGGGAGGGGCATGAGGGTGAGGTGGGAGGGGCATGAGGGAGAGGTGGGAGGGGCATGAGGGTGAGGTGGGAGGGGCATGAGGGTGAGGTGGGAGGGGCATGGGGGAGAGGTGGGAGGGGCATGAGGGTGAGGTGGGAGGGGCATGAGGGTGAGGTGGGAGGGGCATGAGGGTGAGGTGGGAGGGGCATGAGGGTGAGGTGGGAGGGGCATGAGGGTGAGGTGGGAGGGGCATGAGGGAGAGGTGGGAGGGGCATGAGGGTGAGGTGGGAGGGGCATGAGGGTGAGGTGGGAGGGGCATGGGGGAGAGGTGGGAGGGGCATGAGGGTGAGGTGGGAGGGGCATGAGGGTGAGGTGGGAGGGGCATGAGGGTGAGGTGGGAGGGGCATGAGGGTGAGGTGGGAGGGGCATGAGGGTGAGGTGGGAGGGGCATGAGGGAGAGGTGGGAGGGGCATGAGGGTGAGGTGGGAGGGGCATGAGGGTGAGGTGGGAGGGCATGAGGGTGAGGTGGGAGGGGCATGAGGGAGAGGTGGGAGGGGCATGAGGGAGAGGTGGGAGGGCATGAGGGTGAGGTGGGAGGGCATGAGGGAGAGGTGGGAGGGCATGAGGGAGAGGTGGGAGGGGCATGAGGGTGAGGTGGGAGGGGCATGAGGGAGAGGTGGGAGGGGCATGAGGGAGAGGTGGGAGGGCATGAGGGTGAGGTGGGAGGGCATGAGGGTGAGGTGGGAGGGGCATGAGGGAGAGGTGGGAGGGGCATGAGGGAGAGGTGGGAGGGGCATGAGGGAGAGGTGGGAGGGGCATGAGGGTGAGGTGGGAGGGGCACGAGGGAGAGGTGGGAGGGGTATGAGGGTGAGGTGATAGGGGCATGAGGGTGAGGTGGGAGGGGCATGAGGGTGAGGTGGGAGGGGCACGAGGGAGAGGTGGGAGGGGTATGAGGGTGAGGTGATAGGGGCATGAGGGTGAGGTGGGAGGGGCATGAGGGTGAGGTGATAGGGGCATGAGGGTGAGGTGGGAGGGCATGAGGGTGAGGTGGGAGGGCATGAGGGTGAGGTGGGAGGGGCATGAGGGAGAGGTGGGAGGGGCATGAGGGAGAGGTGGGAGGGGCATGAGGGTGAGGTGGGAGGGGCATGAGGGTGAGGTGGGAGGGGCATGAGGGTGAGGTGGGAGGGGCATGAGGGAGAGGTGGGAGGGGCATGAGGGTGAGGTGGGAGGGGCATGAGGGTGAGGTGGGAGGGGCATGGGGGAGAGGTGGGAGGGGCATGAGGGTGAGGTGGGAGGGGCATGAGGGTGAGGTGGGAGGGGCATGAGGGTGAGGTGGGAGGGGCATGAGGGTGAGGTGGGAGGGGCATGAGGGTGAGGTGGGAGGGGCATGAGGGAGAGGTGGGAGGGGCATGAGGGTGAGGTGGGAGGGGCATGAGGGTGAGGTGGGAGGGCATGAGGGTGAGGTGGGAGGGGCATGAGGGAGAGGTGGGAGGGGCATGAGGGAGAGGTGGGAGGGCATGAGGGTGAGGTGGGAGGGCATGAGGGAGAGGTGGGAGGGCATGAGGGAGAGGTGGGAGGGGCATGAGGGTGAGGTGGGAGGGGCATGAGGGAGAGGTGGGAGGGGCATGAGGGAGAGGTGGGAGGGCATGAGGGTGAGGTGGGAGGGCATGAGGGTGAGGTGGGAGGGGCATGAGGGAGAGGTGGGAGGGGCATGAGGGAGAGGTGGGAGGGGCATGAGGGAGAGGTGGGAGGGGCATGAGGGTGAGGTGGGAGGGGCACGAGGGAGAGGTGGGAGGGGTATGAGGGTGAGGTGGGAGGGGCATGAGGGTGAGGTGGGAGGGGCATGAGGGAGAGGTGGGAGGGGCATGAGGGTGAGGTGGGAGGGGCATGAGGGTGAGGTGGGAGGGGCATGAGGGTGAGGTGGGAGGGCATGAGGGTGAGGTGGGAGGGGCATGAGGGAGAGGTGGGAGGGGCATGAGGGAGAGGTGGGAGGGGCATGAGGGAGAGGTGGGAGGGGCATGAGGGAGAGGTGGGAGGGGCATGAGGGTGAGGTGGGAGGGGCATGAGGGAGAGGTGGGAGGGCATGAGGGTGAGGTGGGAGGGCATGAGGGAGAGGTGGGAGGGCATGAGGGAGAGGTGGGAGGGGCATGAGGGTGAGGTGGGAGGGGCATGAGGGAGAGGTGGGAGGGGCATGAGGGAGAGGTGGGAGGGCATGAGGGTGAGGTGGGAGGGCATGAGGGAGAGGTGGGAGGGCATGAGGGTGAGGTGGGAGGGGCATGAGGGAGAGGTGGGAGGGCATGAGGGTGAGGTGGGAGGGGCATGAGGGAGAGGTGGGAGGGCATGAGGGTGAGGTGGGAGGGCATGAGGGAGAGGTGGGAGGGCATGAGGGTGAGGTGGGAGGGGCATGAGGGTGAGGTGGGAGGGGCATGAGGGTGAGGTGGGAGGGCATGAGGGTGAGGTGGGAGGGGCATGAGGGAGAGGTGGGAGGGGCATGAGGGAGAAGTGGGAGGGCATGAGGGTGAGGTGGGAGGGCATGAGGGAGAGGTGGGAGGGCATGAGGGAGAGGTGGGAGGGGCATGAGTGTGAGGTGGGAGGGGCATGAGGGAGAGGTGGGAGGGGCATGAGGGAGAGGTGGGAGGGCATGAGGGTGAGGTGGGAGGGCATGAGGGAGAGGTGGGAGGGCATGAGGGTGAGGTGGGAGGGGCATGAGGGTGAGGTGGGAGGGCATGAGGGTGAGGTGGGAGGGCATGAGGGAGAGGTGGGAGGGGCATGAGGGAGAGGTGGGAGGGGCATGAGGGTGAGGTGGGAGGGGCATGAGGGAGAGGTGGGAGGGCATGAGGGTGAGGTGGGAGGGCATGAGGGAGAGGTGGGAGGGCATGAGGGAGAGGTGGGAGGGGCATGAGGGTGAGGTGGGAGGGGCATGAGGGAGAGGTGGGAGGGGCATGAGGGAGAGGTGGGAGGGCATGTGGGTGAGGTGGGAGGGCATGAGGGAGAGGTGGGAGGGCATGAGGGTGAGGTGGGAGGGGCATGAGGGTGAGGTGGGAGGGGCATGAGGGAGAGGTGGGAGGGGCATGAGGGAGAGGTGGGAGGGGCATGAGGGTGAGGTGGGAGGGGCATGAGGGTGAGGTGGGAGGGCATGAGGGTGAGGTGGGAGGGGCATGAGGGTGAGGTGGGAGGGGCATGAGGGAGAGGTGGGAGGGGCATGAGGGTGAGGTGGGAGGGGCATGAGGGAGAGGTGGGAGGGCATGAGGGTGAGGTGGGAGGGGCATGAGGGAGAGGTGGGAGGGCATGAGGGTGAGGTGGGAGGGCATGAGGGAGAGGTGGGAGGGCATGAGGGTGAGGTGGGAGGGGCATGAGGGTGAGGTGGGAGGGGCATGAGGGTGAGGTGGGAGGGCATGAGGGTGAGGTGGGAGGGGCATGAGGGAGAGGTGGGAGGGGCATGAGGGAGAAGTGGGAGGGCATGAGGGTGAGGTGGGAGGGCATGAGGGAGAGGTGGGAGGGCATGAGGGAGAGGTGGGAGGGGCATGAGTGTGAGGTGGGAGGGGCATGAGGGAGAGGTGGGAGGGGCATGAGGGAGAGGTGGGAGGGCATGAGGGTGAGGTGGGAGGGCATGAGGGAGAGGTGGGAGGGCATGAGGGTGAGGTGGGAGGGGCATGAGGGTGAGGTGGGAGGGCATGAGGGTGAGGTGGGAGGGCATGAGGGAGAGGTGGGAGGGGCATGAGGGAGAGGTGGGAGGGGCATGAGGGTGAGGTGGGAGGGGCATGAGGGAGAGGTGGGAGGGCATGAGGGTGAGGTGGGAGGGCATGAGGGAGAGGTGGGAGGGCATGAGGGAGAGGTGGGAGGGGCATGAGGGTGAGGTGGGAGGGGCATGAGGGAGAGGTGGGAGGGCATGAGGGTGAGGTGGGAGGGCATGAGGGAGAGGTGGGAGGGCATGAGGGTGAGGTGGGAGGGGCATGAGGGAGAGGTGGGAGGGCATGAGGGTGAGGTGGGAGGGCATGAGGGTGAGGTGGGAGGGGCATGAGGGAGAGGTGGGAGGGGCATGAGGGAGAGGTGGGAGGGGCATGAGGGAGAGGTGGGAGGGGCATGAGGGTGAGGTGGGAGGGGCACGAGGGAGAGGTGGGAGGGGTATGAGGGTGAGGTGGGAGGGGCATGAGGGTGAGGAGGGAGGGGCATGAGGGAGAGGTGGGAGGGGCATGAGGGTGAGGTGGGAGGGGCATGAGGGTGAGGTGGGAGGGGCATGAGGGTGAGGTGGGAGGGCATGAGGGTGAGGTGGGAGGGGCATGAGGGAGAGGTGGGAGGGGCATGAGGGAGAGGTGGGAGGGCATGTGGGTGAGGTGGGAGGGCATGAGGGAGAGGTGGGAGGGCATGAGGGTGAGGTGGGAGGGGCATGAGGGTGAGGTGGGAGGGGCATGAGGGAGAGGTGGGAGGGGCATGAGGGAGAGGTGGGAGGGGCATGAGGGTGAGGTGGGAGGGGCATGAGGGTGAGGTGGGAGGGCATGAGGGTGAGGTGGGAGGGCATGAGGGTGAGGTGGGAGGGGCATGAGGGAGAGGTGGGAGGGGCATGAGGGAGAGGTGGGAGGGGCATGAGGGTGAGGTGGGAGGGGCATGAGGGAGAGGTGGGAGGGGCATGAGGGAGAGGTGGGAGGGGCATGAGGGAGAGGTGGGAGGGCATGAGGGTGAGGTGGGAGGGCATGAGGGAGAGGTGGGAGGGCATGAGGGAGAGGTGGGAGGGGCATGAGGGTGAGGTGGGAGGGGCATGAGGGAGAGGTGGGAGGGGCATGAGGGAGAGGTGGGAGGGCATGAGGGTGAGGTGGGAGGGCATGAGGGAGAGGTGGGAGGGCATGAGGGTGAGGTGGGAGGGGCATGAGGGTGAGGTGGGAGGGGCATGAGGGTGAGGTGGGAGGGGCATGAGGGAGAGGTGGGAGGGGCATGAGGGTGAGGTGGGAGGGGCATGAGGGTGAGGTGGGAGGGGCATGAGGGAGAGGTGGGAGGGGCATGAGGGTGAGGTGGGAGGGGCATGAGGGTGAGGTGGGAGGGGCATGAGGGTGAGGTGGGAGGGCATGAGGGTGAGGTGGGAGGGGCATGAGGGAGAGGTGGGAGGGGCATGAGGGAGAAGTGGGAGGGCATGAGGGTGAGGTGGGAGGGCATGAGGGAGAGGTGGGAGGGCATGAGGGAGAGGTGGGAGGGGCATGAGGGTGAGGTGTGAGGGGCATGAGGGAGAGGTGGGAGGGGCATGAGGGAGAGGTGGGAGGGCATGAGGGTGAGGTGGGAGGGCATGAGGGTGAGGTGGGAGGGGCATGAGGGAGAGGTGGGAGGGGCATGAGGGAGAGGTGGGAGGGGCATGAGGGAGAGGTGGGAGGGGCATGAGGGTGAGGTGGGAGGGGCACGAGGGAGAGGTGGGAGGGGTATGAGGGTGAGGTGGGAGGGGCATGAGGGTGAGGAGGGAGGGGCATGAGGGAGAGGTGGGAGGGGCATGAGGGTGAGGTGGGAGGGGCATGAGGGTGAGGTGGGAGGGGCATGAGGGTGAGGTGGGAGGGCATGAGGGTGAGGTGGGAGGGGCATGAGGGAGAGGTGGGAGGGGCATGAGGGAGAGGTGGGAGGGCATGTGGGTGAGGTGGGAGGGCATGAGGGAGAGGTGGGAGGGCATGAGGGTGAGGTGGGAGGGGCATGAGGGTGAGGTGGGAGGGGCATGAGGGAGAGGTGGGAGGGGCATGAGGGAGAGGTGGGAGGGGCATGAGGGAGAGGTGGGAGGGGCATGAGGGTGAGGTGGGAGGGGCACGAGGGAGAGGTGGGAGGGGTATGAGGGTGAGGTGGGAGGGGCATGAGGGTGAGGAGGGAGGGGCATGAGGGAGAGGTGGGAGGGGCATGAGGGTGAGGTGGGAGGGGCATGAGGGTGAGGTGGGAGGGGCATGAGGGTGAGGTGGGAGGGCATGAGGGTGAGGTGGGAGGGGCATGAGGGAGAGGTGGGAGGGGCATGAGGGAGAGGTGGGAGGGGCATGAGGGAGAGGTGGGAGGGGCATGAGGGTGAGGTGGGAGGGGCACGAGGGAGAGGTGGGAGGGGTATGAGGGTGAGGTGGGAGGGGCATGAGGGTGAGGAGGGAGGGGCATGAGGGAGAGGTGGGAGGGGCATGAGGGTGAGGTGGGAGGGGCATGAGGGTGAGGTGGGAGGGGCATGAGGGTGAGGTGGGAGGGCATGAGGGTGAGGTGGGAGGGGCATGAGGGAGAGGTGGGAGGGGCATGAGGGAGAGGTGGGAGGGCATGTGGGTGAGGTGGGAGGGCATGAGGGAGAGGTGGGAGGGCATGAGGGTGAGGTGGGAGGGGCATGAGGGTGAGGTGGGAGGGGCATGAGGGAGAGGTGGGAGGGGCATGAGGGAGAGGTGGGAGGGGCATGAGGGTGAGGTGGGAGGGGCATGAGGGAGAGGTGGGAGGGGCATGAGGATGAGGTGGGAGGGGCATGAGGGAGAGGTGGGAGGGGCATGAGGGAGAGGTGGGAGGGCATGAGGGTGAGGTGGGAGGGCATGAGGGAGAGGTGGGAGGGCATGAGGGAGAGGTGGGAGGGGCATGAGGGTGAGGTGGGAGGGGCATGAGGGAGAGGTGGGAGGGGCATGAGGGAGAGGTGGGAGGGCATGAGGGTGAGGTGGGAGGGCATGAGGGAGAGGTGGGAGGGCATGAGGGAGAGGTGGGAGGGGCATGAGGGTGAGGTGGGAGGGGCATGAGGGAGAGGTGGGAGGGGCATGAGGGAGAGGTGGGAGGGCATGAGGGTGAGGTGGGAGGGCATGAGGGTGAGGTGGGAGGGGCATGAGGGAGAGGTGGGAGGGGCATGAGGGAGAGGTGGGAGGGGCATGAGGGTGAGGTGGGAGGGGCACGAGGGAGAGGTGGGAGGGGTATGAGGGTGAGGTGGGAGGGGCATGAGGGTGAGGTGGGAGGGGCATGAGGGAGAGGTGGGAGGGGCATGAGGGAGAGGTGGGAGGGGCATGAGGGAGAGGTGGGAGGGGCATGAGGGAGAGGTGGGAGGGGCATGAGGGAGAGGTGGGAGGGCATGAGGGTGAGGTGGGAGGGCATGAGGGTGAGGTGGGAGGGGCATGAGGGAGAGGTGGGAGGGGCATGAGGGAGAGGTGGGAGGGGCATGAGGGAGAGGTGGGAGGGGCATGAGGGTGAGGTGGGAGGGGCATGAGGGAGAGGTGGGAGGGGCATGAGGGTGAGGTGGGAGGGGCATGAGGGTGAGGTGGGAGGGGCATGAAGGAGAGGTGGGAGGGGCATGAGGGTGAGGTGGGAGGGGCATGAGGGTGAGGTGGGAGGGGCATGAGGGTGAGGTGGGAGGGGCATGAGGGTGAGGTGGGAGGGGCATGAGGGTGAGGTGGGAGGGCATGAGGGTGAGGTGGGAGGGCATGAGGGTGAGGTGGGAGGGGCATGAGGGAGAGGTGGGAGGGGCATGAGGGAGAGGTGGGAGGGGCATGAGGGTGAGGTGGGAGGGGCACGAGGGAGAGGTGGGAGGGGCATGAGGGAGAGGTGGGAGGGGCATGAGGGTGAGGTGGGAGGGGCATGAGGGTGAGGTGGGAGGGCATGAGGGTGAGGTGGGAGGGCATGAGGGTGAGGTGGGAGGGGCATGAGGGTGAGGTGGGAGGGCATGAGGGTGAGGTGGGAGGGGCATGACGGTGAGGTGGGAGGGGCATGAGGGAGAGGTGGGAGGGGCATGAGGGAGAGGTGGGAGGGGCATGAGGGTGAGGTGGGAGGGGCATGAGGGTGAGGTGGGAGGGCATGAGGGTGAGGTGGGAGGGCATGAGGGTGAGGTGGGAGGGGCATGAGGGAGAGGTGGGAGGGGCATGAGGGAGAGGTGGGAGGGGCATGAGGGTGAGGTGGGAGGGGCATGAGGGTGAGGTGGGAGGGGCATGAGGGTGAGGTGGGAGGGGCATGAGGGAGAGGTGGGAGGGGCATGAGGGTGAGGTGGGAGGGGCATGAGGGTGAGGTGGGAGGGGCATGAGGGAGAGGTGGGAGGGGCATGAGGGTGAGGTGGGAGGGGCATGAGGGTGAGGTGGGAGGGGCATGAGGGTGAGGTGGGAGGGCATGAGGGTGAGGTGGGAGGGGCATGAGGGAGAGGTGGGAGGGGCATGAGGGAGAGGTGGGAGGGCATGAGGGTGAGGTGGGAGGGCATGAGGGAGAGGTGGGAGGGCATGAGGGAGAGGTGGGAGGGGCATGAGGGTGAGGTGGGAGGGGCATGAGGGAGAGGTGGGAGGGGCATGAGGGAGAGGTGGGAGGGCATGAGGGTGAGGTGGGAGGGCATGAGGGTGAGGTGGGAGGGGCATGAGGGAGAGGTGGGAGGGGCATGAGGGAGAGGTGGGAGGGGCATGAGGGTGAGGTGGGAGGGGCACGAGGGAGAGGTGGGAGGGGTATGAGGGTGAGGTGGGAGGGGCATGAGGGTGAGGTGGGAGGGGCATGAGGGAGAGGTGGGAGGGGCATGAGGGTGAGGTGGGAGGGGCATGAGGGTGAGGTGGGAGGGGCATGATGGTGAGGTGGGAGGGCATGAGGGTGAGGTGGGAGGGGCATGAGGGAGAGGTGGGAGGGGCATGAGGGAGAGGTGGGAGGGCATGAGGGTGAGGTGGGAGGGCATGAGGGAGAGGTGGGAGGGCATGAGGGAGAGGTGGGAGGGGCATGAGGGTGAGGTGGGAGGGGCATGAGGGAGAGGTGGGAGGGGCATGAGGGAGAGGTGGGAGGGCATGAGGGTGAGGTGGGAGGGCATGAGGGAGAGGTGTGAGGGGCATGAGGGTGAGGTGGGAGGGGCATGAGGGTGAGGTGGGAGGGGCATGAGGGAGAGGTGGGAGGGGCATGAGGGAGAGGTGGGAGGGCATGAGGGTGAGGTGGGAGGGCATGAGGGAGAGGTGGGAGGGCATGAGGGAGAGGTGGGAGGGGCATGAGGGTGAGGTGGGAGGGGCATGAGGGAGAGGAGGGAGGGGCATGAGGGAGAGGTGGGAGGGCATGAGGGTGAGGTGGGAGGGCATGAGGGTGAGGTGGGAGGGGCATGAGGGAGAGGTGGGAGGGGCATGAGGGAGAGGTGGGAGGGGCATGAGGGTGAGGTGGGAGGGGCACGAGGGAGAGGTGGGAGGGGTATGAGGGTGAGGTGGGAGGGGCATGAGGGTGAGGTGGGAGTGGCATGAGGGAGAGGTGGGAGGGGCATGAGGGTGAGGTGGGAGGGGCATGAGGGTGAGGTGGGAGGGGCATGAGGGTGAGGTGGGAGGGCATGAGGGTGAGGTGGGAGGGGCATGAGGGAGAGGTGGGAGGGGCATGAGGGAGAGGTGGGAGGGCATGAGGGTGAGGTGGGAGGGCATGAGGGAGAGGTGGGAGGGCATGAGGGAGAGGTGGGAGGGGCATGAGGGTGAGGTGGGAGGGGCATGAGGGAGAGGTGGGAGGGGCATGAGGGAGAGGTGGGAGGGCATGAGGGTGAGGTGGGAGGGCATGAGGGAGAGGTGTGAGGGGCATGAGGGTGAGGTGGGAGGGGCATGAGGGTGAGGTGGGAGGGCATGAGGGTGAGGTGGGAGGGCATGAGGGTGAGGTGGGAGGGGCATGAGGGAGAGGTGGGAGGGGCATGAGGGAGAGGTGGTAGGGGCATGAGGGAGAGGTGGGAGGGGCATGAGGGTGAGGTGGGAGGGGCATGAGGGTGAGGTGGGAGGGGCATGAGGGAGAGGTGGGAGGGGCATGAGGGTGAGGTGGGAGGGGCATGAGGGTGAGGTGGGAGGGGCATGAGGGTGAGGTGGGAGGGCATGAGGGTGAGGTGGAAGGGGCATGAGGGAGAGGTGGGAGGGGCATGAGGGAGAGGTGGGAGGGCATGAAGGTGAGGTGGGAGGGCATGAGGGAGAGGTGGGAGGGCATGAGGGAGAGGTGGGAGGGGCATGAGGGTGAGGTGGGAGGGGCATGAGGGAGAGGTGGGAGGGGCATGAGGGAGAGGTGGGAGGGCATGAGGGTGAGGTGGGAGGGCATGAGGGAGAGGTGGGAGGGGCATGAGGGTGAGGTGGGAGGGGCATGAGGGTGAGGTGGGAGGGCATGAGGGTGAGGTGGGAGGGCATGAGGGTGAGGTGGGAGGGGCATGAGGGAGAGGTGGGAGGGGCATGAGGGAGAGGTGGGAGGGCATGAGGGTGAGGTGGGAGGGGCATGAGGGTGAGGTGGGAGGGCATGAGGGTGAGGTGGGAGGGGCATGAGGGTGAGGTGGGAGGGGCATGAGGGTGAGGTGGGAGGGCATGAGGGTGAGGTGGGAGGGGCATGAGGGTGAGGTGGGAGGGCATGAGGGTGAGGTGGGAGGGGCATGAGGGAGAGGTGGGAGGGGCATGAGGGAGAGGTGGGAGGGCATGAGGGTGAGGTGGGAGGGGCATGAGGGTGTGGTGGGAGGGCATGAGGGAGAGTTGGGAGGGGCATGAGGGTGAGGTGGGAGGGGCATGAGGGTGAGGTGGGAGGGCATGAGGGTGAGGTGGGAGGGGCATGAGGGAGAGGTGGGAGGGGCATGAGGGAGAGGTGGGAGGGCATGAGGGTGAGGTGGGAGGGGCATGAGGGAGAGGTGGGAGGGGGACGAGGAGGAAAGGGAGGGGGACAATGAGGATGAGAAGGCGGTGGGTGGAGTGAAGCGCATGCTGCAGCTGTACAGCCTGTTCAACCGGCGGGCTATCAAGGTGCGCTGCGAGGGGCATGAGGGAGAGGTGGGAGGGGCATGAGGGAGAGGTGGGAGGGGCATGAGGGAGAGGTGGGAGGGGCATGAGGGTGAGGTGGGAGGGGCATGAGGGTGAGGTGGGAGGGGCATGAGGGTGAGGTGGGAGGGGCATGAGGGTGAGGTGGGAGGGCATGAGGGTGAGGTGGGAGGGGCATGAGGGAGAGGTGGGAGGGGCATGAGGGAGAGGTGGGAGGGCATGAGGGTGAGGTGGGAGGGCATGAGGGAGAGGTGGGAGGGCATGAGGGAGAGGTGGGAGGGCATGAGGGTGAGGTGGGAGGGGCATGAGGGAGAGGTGGGAGGGGCATGAGGGAGAGGTGGGAGGGCATGAGGGTGAGGTGGGAGGGGCATGAGGGAGAGGTGGGAGGGGCATGAGGGAGAGGTGGGAGGGCATGAGGGTGAGGTGGGAGGGCATGAGGGTGAGGTGGGAGGGCATGAGGGAGAGGTGGGAGGGGCATGAGGGAGAGGTGGGAGGGGCATGAGGGTGAGGTGGGAGGGGCATGAGGGTGAGGTGGGAGGGCATGAGGGTGAGGTGGGAGGGGCATGAGGGAGAGGTGGGAGGGCATGAGGGTGAGGTGGGAGGGGCATGAGGGTGAGGTGGGAGGGCATGAGGGAGAGGTGGGAGGGGCATGAGGGTGAGGTGGGAGGGGCATGAGGGTGAGGTGGGAGGGCATGAGGGTGAGGTGGGAGGGGCATGAGGGAGAGGTGGGAGGGGCATGAGGGAGAGGTGGGAGGGCATGAGGGTGAGGTGGGAGGGGCATGAGGGAGAGGTGGGAGGGGCATGAGGGAGAGGTGGGAGGGCATGAGGGTGAGGTGGGAGGGCATGAGGGTGTGGTGGGAGGGGCATGAGGGAGAGGTGGGAGGGGCATGAGGGAGAGGTGGGAGGGGCATGAGGGTGAGGTGGGAGGGGCATGAGGGTGAGGTGGGAGGGGCATGAGGGTGAGGTGGGAGGGCATGAGGGTGAGGTGGGAGGGGCATGAGGGAGAGGTGGGAGGGGCATGAGGGAGAGGTGGGAGGGCATGAGGGTGAGGTGGGAGGGGCATGAGGGTGAGGTGGGAGGGGCATGAGGGTGAGGTGGGAGGGCATGAGGGTGAGGTGGGAGGGCATGAGGGTGAGGTTGGAGGGCATCAGGGTGAGATGGGAGGGGCATAAAGTGAGAGGTGGGATGGCATGAGGGTGAGGTTGGAGGGCATCAGGGTGAGATGGGAGGGGCATGAAGTGAGAGGTGGGATGGGCATGAGGGTAAGATGTCAAGGTCAGAGTGCCATCACAGTGTTCTTCCCCTCTTTGATGCGTCGTCTGTGTGCCTGTTGAGAATAGCTGGATTTGAACTACTGCAAGCCTTCTAAGAGTCCATGAACGATCTTTAGTACTAATTCTACTAATCTGTATAAACAAAAGAAGTCGTAAACAAAGGTCTTTTACTCAGGAAGCCAGACACATAGGCCCGGGTGTCACTTGTGTTTCGGGTCGACTAAGATTTATGTGCCTGCTGCTTCTGTTCTTGCTGCTTCTCTACCTTGCTGCTTCTGTTCTTGCTGCTTCTCTACCTTGCTGCTTCTGTTCTTGCTGCTTCTCTACCTTGCCGCTTCTGTTCTTGCTGCTTCTCTACCTTGCTGCTTCTCTACCTTGCTGCTTCTGTTCTTTCTGCTTCTCTACCTTGCTGCTTCTGTTCTTTCTGCTTCTCTACCTTTGCTGCTTCTGTTCTTGCTGCTTCTCTTCCATTCTGCTTCTGTGCCCGGCTGCTTTCGATGACCTTCTGCATGTGAAATCTGCCCGGCAGACGGAGGACGAGCGCGTGACCAAGGAGCGCAGGAGGCTGGGGTTGATCGGCCCCAACGATGAGCCGATACCCAAGAGCAAGCTCAAGGGGAAGGCCAAGAACGTGCGGGTTCCCAGCAAGCGCCCTGACCTCGTTGCCCTCAAAGTGGTGAGTGCAGTGGCTGCGGCTGCAACAAGAGGTTTAGTTTGAGCGTTGGGAGGGTATATTTTGAATGACTGGCTGCTCACATGTTAGTTGCTCTTTGCTTTTTATTGAACCGTGCTCTGTAACACTTTCCTATATGGGCCACATGGACCAGGTTGCTGCTGCTATTCACGGAACACATTGATAGAAGTGCACAGGTGAGTGCTCATAGCAAGTGTTGTTTTTAACGAGCAAGCCATTCCATGAGAGCACACACCAATGTGCCAGTGCAAGCAATTAAATGAGATGAGACAAGGCCAGCGTGCTCCTCAAGGCATCGCTCAACCGGCGCTTGCTTTGTGTGTGTGCTTTCTGGGCAGATGACAGAAAAAGGGTTGCTGCAGAAGACGAGAACTGTTGGGGCCATTCCAGGTATGCTGCCTCCCTGCTCCTTCCCTGCTGCTTGCTTCATCGCCTTCATGAGTTTCGCACATTGTTCGAATGTCTCAGCTCAGTCTATGTAGAGACATCGGGGCAGGTAAGAAAAGAAGGGGAGAGTGGGTGGAGAGAGGGTGGAGGGGAGGGGGAGGGGGGAGGGGAGTAAATGGGGGGAAAGGCGGAGACATGCAACACGTATTTCCCAAGATAACACAGTGCAAGTACATCGTAACCCAAAGATAACAGTGCTGGGTTTTGTAGATTCGATGTGGTAATGAGTGGTTTGGGTTTGGGAAAGAGAGGGATGATGTTTGTTTGGTTGGGTGCTGTTTGGCGGGCAGTTTCACGCACTGGTAATCACGAAATCGTATTTGGCCAGATTGTGCGTTTTCTTCCCGGAATGTCCCAAAACAAACAGGGAAACGTCCAACAGTGCGTTCCGTGTCCAGCATCCCAGCGCGAGCGCTCGGACGCTAGACGCTCCATTGCCTGACTGTCCGATACGATTGAGGTCTTAGTGCTGCAGCTAGTCAATTTTTAGCCTTCACAATTTTGGAACGTTGAATGCTCCGCACTGCGGTGCATGCCGCCTGAGCTGGTCCGCGGTTCTTTCGGCCATGAGCTGCTCGCAAGGCCGGGCCGCCGGGGTAGGCCCAGCGTTTGTCTTGGCTCGTCACTTGTTTATTCATAAGAAGTGTGATGCTCGCTGTTTCCTTGCGAGAAAGAGAGCTATTCAAGCTTGTGTTAACTTCACACGAGCTTGGGTCGATCCTCAACTTGTACCTTCAGGAGGAACTGGCTTTGCTGACGCTGAACTTGGTTCGATTCAAAGCACGAACTGTTTGGGTTGAGGTGGTTCAGGCTCGTCTCAGCCTCCCCTCGTTATGTTCGCATCGCAGTATGTGGAATACAGTATGAGGTTATCCAGACGGAGGGAACTGGCTACAAGGAAGGAGTCCCAGTGGAGGTTACTAGGATGGATTGATGAGGACGAGCTGCGGCCGGCTTGATGTGGTCCAAAAGCACGTCAAACCGGTTGGGTTTCACGCCTTGGTCGGTACGGCTCGAACAGGTTGATCAATTCGAGTTGAGACTGGTTTGGTTTGGCTCAAATCGATTCGTGTTGACATCGAGAATCGACCTTTTGCTCGACTCTAGAATTCCTAAACATAAAGTGCATAACGTATCAACAAACAAGCAAGGAGAGGTGGCAGCACTCTTCAATCTTGATGACTCTCCGTTGTTGTGCAGGTGTGCGTGTGGGCGATCGCTTCTTTGCTCGAGCCGAAATGGTTGTGGTGGGCTTGCACAGGCACTGGCTCAACGGCATTGACATCATTCCTCAGGCCGTAAGCACTGCTCCATCATGCTAGCATGTGTTAGGCATAGTAAGTCAAACACGCAGCAAGAGATGAGCAAAGTGCATGGCCCGGTCGACCCGGCCCGACCCAAGTTCTTGCATACGCCGGGCCGACCTTTTCCAAACGCCGACTCGGCCGTGTCGGGTCTGGTATACCTGGCCTGGCTGGGTCGGGTCGACCCGAGACCCGATTTTATAATTTTATGTTTGGTCAGGTCGACCTGGCTACCCGGGTCGGGTCGATCCGACTTTGGGCCAATAATGAAGAAATCGGGTTGGATACATGCTCGAGCCCAATTGTGTTGAAACATTTTGATATGGGTTGTTGGGCTATGCTCAATGTTGATATTTGTATAGGGTGGGGTGTATGGGGGTTGGGTTTTGTGGATTCAGTGTGATGATGAGTGGTAAGCGGCGGCGAGTTGGCTGGGAACTTTCATTCAACAATTTCGTTGGAAGGAGCGCCTAGCTTCGTTCAGTGAGTGGCGAAATCGCCGATTTGCGGAATTTGGCGGGCAAAATCATTGATTTGCGTAGACCGGCGGGCAAAAGGGGGTACAGATACCCGACCCGCTTCCGGGTTGAATTGGCACGGAGGCCGGTCAGAAATGACCTGCCTCTGTAAGGCCGAGTCGGGTTTGCAATCTGAAATGATGGACCTGGGGGAGGGACCCGACCCGGAACCCGACTGAGTGGGCCAGAGCGTGTCGGGTCGATCCGGGTCTGGACTTTTGCTCATGCCTACCCACCATAAGTAAACCGGAAATGAAACAGAATCATTACCATACAACGTGCGACTACGCAAAAAAAGCATAGTCACTGTGCTAGGGATGAGTAGGGGGCGAACTCGAACATGTTCGTGTTCGCCCCCTCACGAACATGACCTTCTGCCGAACCGAACAGTGTTCGGTTCGGCGAACAACTTGACTGAAAATAGGTGTTCGCCGTTCGCCCTAGAAGGCGAACAATTTGCTGCAGCAGGCGAACACGAACACGTTCGTGGCGAACATGTTCGTGTTCGCCCAAGGGGGAATTCAATATAGTCACACTAGTCCGAATACGAATTTGAGGGTGCAGGATGATAGCAAAGGGGGTGCAGGGTGTATACGTGTTCATGAAACGCACCAACAACTACAACATCATGTTCTGTGTAGGGAAATGTCTATGTCATACTAATTCCTATGCCATGGCGCCACTGCTACTACCAACAACAGCATCCTCTCCACCAGCTACGTCTGCCTCCACCCCCTCCTCCTCCTCCTCCTCCTCCTCCTCGTCGTCGTCCTCCTCCAACCCCTCGCCCTCAATGGCGAACTCTAGTGGTGCGACTCCTCTCGGTCGGCGACCCTCGCCGATCCTCTGGCCAGGGTGTGAACTGTACCATGATTTGAGAATCATGACAGCTCGCGCCCTCTGAGAGGCCAGGCGGTGCCGCTTCCAAGAGATGAGGTTGCGACCAAGAGAGAACACCTCAGCTCACCGCTCGATCCCGGTGATCCTCTAGCTACCAACCTAATGTTCATGAAATTACCCTAACTACGGACTAGTTAGATGAAATATCCGTGTTAAATCTCATGAACGGAGTGCGGTGGCTCTTAAAACCGCCAGGCTATGGCGGTTGTGGGAGGGTGGGCTAAGCGCTAAAGTCGTTTTTGTGTTTGAGCTCAAGAAATGAGCTCAAACACAAAACTGCCGCGACCTAAATTTGGTCGCGGCCAAATTTGACGCGAACATTTTGGTGTTCGTCGCCCCCCCCCCCGCCGAACACGAACATGTTCGTTCGGCATCCCGTGGCCAAAGTTCATAGGCGAACGGCGAACGTGTTCGGCCGAACACCGAACACGTTCGCCCCGAACGAATTAGGCGAAAAAAAAAACCTGTTCGGTTCGAGGCGAACCGAACAGGCGTTCGTGAATTTGCTCATGCCTAGTCACTGCTTTGCATAACCGCCAATCCTCCATCTCCGCCTCCACCTCCTCTTCATCGTCATCGTCGTCATCGTCGTCGTCCTCCTCCTCCTCCTCCTCATCCTCCTCCTCCTCCTCCTCCTCCTCCTCCTCCTCCTCCTCCTCCTCCTCCTCCTCCTCCCCCCCCTCACGATCATTCGCTCTGTCCTGTTGCTATCGTGCGCACTGTGCACGTTCGCAACAGTTGCGACACACTCACGGGCCCTGTGCCCTGTGGGGCCACACGTGCATGTCAGGACCCTACGAGCGGGTCCTCACTTCGCGCACTTTTTTGACCAGCGCGAAAATGGTTAAAGGGCCCAAACAAAAAAATCGAGCCCCAACCCCCAACACACTCGAAACTCACCACGAGCGCTCATGAAAATTCATGAGCTTTCATGACGCTCGTAACTTTCATGAACGCTCATGGTTGTTCAGGAAAATTCATGAACTTACATGACTCGTCAAGATCCGTCATGACTCGTCACGAGCCGGCAACAAAAACACATGAAATGAAATACGAAAACAAATGCGTACAGAACACACACAGAATGCATGACGTTATGGAGGCGGCTGGTTGACGTGCAAAAATAGTATTTTGCACCCAACAGCTTTTACCCGACCCGACCAGACCTAAACCGCCCTATAACCAAACCGGGGACGGGCCACAGATACCCGTGCACCTTGGACGGGCCGGGTCCTTTAGGGTCAATCTTGACCAGCCGACCCGACCAGACCCGACCCATGGTGGTCTTGGGTCGCCCTAAACGGGACAGGTTGGGTCGGGTCAAATGCCCATGTCTACATTGAGCTCTCCCCCTCACCTGCCTAACTCCGCCACCTACCCGATCCTCTACCGATCCTCTAAATTTATTATTCTCTGAAGAGTACCGGTTCGTGACATTTCGCCATCACTTATGTGCACGTCCTGGCACGGGCATGGATGAAGCAGGTGGCGGGAATGGCTTTGGGGGTGGGGGGTATACATGTGCCACGATTCGAGTTTTACTCCATTTCGACCTTATAGCCACTCAACAAATGTCAACAACACCCACTTCGCTTATAAACCCGTGTGATTTTCACACGGGAATGCTGTGTGAGTGTAACGAAATGAGCCGCGAACATGTTCGTGTTCGGGCTGAACACCTTGGTGTTCGTTTGTAAAGGCGAACACCAAACATCCCATTTTGTTGGAGGTGTTTGGCCGAACACCCCATTGCTCAACCCCAGTCATAGCCGACCACCCCATAAGCCTGGGTCGGGTCGGCTTCCCCCAGGTCCTTACTCGTGGTCGGGTCAAACTGACTCGACCTGTACCCGCTTCACGTCGAGCAAAATGGGTCGGGTCGGGTCATTGCTCAAGCGGGTTTGTAAGAGTTGCGAAATGCAAAATATTGCCCAACCGGCATCTTTGATCTCCCATCCACACGGATCTGACCACAAATAGAGCTCCAATTCTTGCCAAATGCCCAGTATGTATAGGTTTCTGCATCACAATATCAGAGGCTCGACTGAACCAAACCTTTGTTCAATACCATGCTCATGCGGCATGCCTAACGTCCTGTATGGTATTAAATCCCTTGCGTTGCAATCAACGACTTTGTTTAACAGGAGAGCCCTTATGACAAGTCCATCGCGGTGGCTGTGGTGGTCTCTGGAGGATACGAAGACGACGAGGACGAGGCGAGCCGCATTTGGTACACGGGGCAGGGCGGCAATGACCTTCTGGGCTCACGAAAGCAAGTGGCCAACCAAGTTCTGCGATCCGGAAACCTGGCTCTCATGGTATGCTTTAGAAACTCCCACATGAGCAATATACATGTGCATGCTAGTGTTAGCCCTCAATCTCAAATTTTGTACGTGTACTTTTTATATCCTAGCGTAGTGTAGTTTGTACTTTGTGTTGGTTGGGTGTACACCCACATCCCAACCCAACCCGAATGTGATCACCAATCTATGTGGCAAAAGACGCACGCGTCCTGCTGCGTCCTGCGTCTGGATGCAGCGTCTGGACGCAGAGACGCAGGACGCACCCTGTTTTTTTTTTCGGTGTGCCTCTGGAAAAAAATAATCCCGAAACGCGAAATTGATATTCGCGAATTCGACGCGAATGTCAATTTCGCGAAAAAAAAAACGACCCCCCAAAAGCAACTCAACATTGAAAACAGCACACCCCCCCAACTTCAAACCCCTCTACACAAATTTGTAAAGCCCCCAACCCAACCCACCCAACCACTCTACATCTAGAACATCCAACCTTTGTGGCCTCCAACCAAACCCATTTAGGGTTGCACACATCTCATTTGTGCTCCCTCCATTCACAACCCCAATTCTCCTTAGTAAACCCTTAAGGTTTTATTTTTGGGGAAAATTTTGCATTGAATGTGTGCAAAGGTCCCCCCCCCCCCCCCCCCCTTCCCAAGCCCTAAACCTTTTTTTTACAGCTGCCCGGGGTTTTTTTTGCCCTGCCCGGGCATGCGTCTTTTCATGCGTCCTAAAGGCCCTCATCTAGCGTCCTGCGTCTGAGACGCTGCGTCTGGACGCAAGCGTCCTAGACGCAGGACGCGTCTTTTGCCACATAGTCACCAAGCAATTTTCAACCCACCAATTGGAGATTGTCTTGGAATTACCCTCAATCCCCTAGGGATTGCCTCCGATTCCCTCTCCAGCCATACCTTGCTCATTTCGGATGTACCCTAAGAGCTTTGAGCTCATGACTAATGTATTGATTCAAAGCTTAAGTTCTCACAGTGCATTGGCACGAGCTGAGAAAAATCGGCTCGCCACAGGTCAAGCTCGTGCGAGCTTTATGACGAGCCGAGTTTTGCTCGGATGAACCTTTTCAGGTAAGAACAGTACTCCTCGTCACTCGTCATGTTTGACGAGGTTTTCAGAAATCGGCCTAGTTTTTTTAAAGCTCGGACGAGTGCGAGCAAAGCTCGACTCGTAGCGTTGGACTATTCTAGGCCTAACTGTGACAAACAATGGTAAGCATTAACATGTATCTAAATAACAGTTGGATACAGCCAGGTCTTGCGCCCTCGTGCGCGTCATCATGGGGCGAATCATCGTGCAGATTGATATGACGTGGCCGGTGCCAAGTTCGGCAAAACGAACAGCCGGGCGAATCATCATGCCGAATAGATATGACGCAGGCTGCTTGGCCCGGTATGACCCGAACCCATCCGACCCAGTACCCACCTGGCTCGCTCAAATCGGGTCAGGGAGCAGCTGGTCGGGTCGGTTGCTCATGCCTACTTGCATGTGGGTTTAGGACGATATTTAATGTAGACTTTAAGAAACGTTTTAGGCAGATTCAGCAGCATTCCTTCAGCAGCACTCATGTGACTTTCTGTGCAAATCGGCGATTTCACTGGCCGATCTGTACAGATTGGGATTTTGCTTGTAATTTACCGAGCCTAGGCGCGTCCTCGTCCCCAACAAATGTTTTGAAGCAAACATTCCCAACCAATTCGCCCCACTGCTCATCACTCATCACCACGAACCAACTTAAACTAAGGTGAGTGGGAGTTGATGCATAGGAGGAAAGAAACCAACTTAAACTAACATGTCTGGATCTGCAATGTCAAATGATGTCCAACCCTAATCCCTAGGCCAGTTTTGTCGAGTGAAATCACTGCATGGCGCGCATGGTGAAATCACTGCATGGCGCGCGGAATCTCTGGTTCGTCGCGAACCTTTTTAACGTGTCAAACTATTCGAGGCGGCTCGGGCGAACCTCACAACTTCGGACGAAATGTTAGCCCTCATAACCTCATAACCTCTTGAACTGTTCGATCGAATCAACCGAGCACAATTTCGGTTCGTTGCTCATGTCTACCCTCACATACATCAACAGATGATGCTGCAAGTGCCGTGTGGTCGGATGAATCCTATCTTGCAGCCTTATTGAGTAGGCACGAGCAAGTTTTGAACCACTAAGGGTTCAGGTCCAACTGGGTCAATTGTCGAACCCAATGTCCAAACCGGACCGGTTCTGTCCAGGTCAAGAAACTCCAAGTGTGACCTCATGTTGCAGATCTGCAACCCCTGGAAATTGGGTCAATCCACCTGTGGTGCGACCCGAACATGTCCGATCCAGTTTGTCTTGAGTGAGCCTTTGTTGTAATCACAGGCGTTATGACATCATTTTCTTCCTTTATTCGAGAACCGTGCAAAAATTGGCCGCGGTATCCTAGATCCAAGGGTCCTGCAATGCTTGGGAGGGATGTTCAAATAATATGTGAAGAAAGTTAGAGCTAGAAAATGAGCTTCAACTTCCACCAACCAAAGTTGTGACGAACCGCACCAGTTTGAGGTGCGTCAGAAGCCTATTGTCTAACTGAACCGGAACGGTATGACTAAAACCAGAACCGGGTCACTCTTTTTTGTTCTCCATCAAAATTTGATGGCAGCCACATTGACAGTATGCCTCAATGTGACGGTGCAGTTCCATTATGGCAAATAAATCTGTCCGGTTTGATTTAGAACTGCAGAATCACTGCTAGGTAGAAACGAATGACAGTTTGGTGCTTGGCTCGAGAGTCAGACAGCTGCACCACAGTTTGACTAGGTGGTGAGATGCTACCTTTTGGTTTTGAAAGTGAAGATGTTAAAAAACACCCTGCATATATAGACATGATTATATATTTGTTTAGGTCATGTGTTTGTCTTAAGCTGTATATTACGTTTCTTTCTCCAAACATGTGTATGTTTTTGCTGTTGCTTCAGAATAGCATTAAGGTGAAGAACGATGTGAGAGTCATTCGAGGGCACAACTGCAAGAAGTCTGACACCGGGCGGGCTTTCACATACGATGGGCTTTACAAGGTGGGTCTGGCTTTAAGAGCTGATATGGTTGCTTTGTGGGTCCACATGAGCATCATGCAGGTGCTGCTCATGTGGAAACACTGTGGAATGTCTGGGTTCCAAGAATCTCGGATGACACAAACAGTATTCTTGACACGGACTGAAATACGCCTTTATTCTTGTATCATGTTGTTTGACTTACCTTTTTTCTTGTTTGAGATCACGTTTAGAAGAGCACCACTATACCATTCTAATGCCTGGTGCATGTTTATTTTTCTATTGCATCCTTGTAACCGCAACAGGTGAAGCAACATCAGTATGTGCGTGGCGAGCAAGGCTTCTTCGTCTACAAGTTCCTTCTCGTCCGCAACCCCGGCCAGCCGCCTCTCACTACTGACCAGGTTCCACCCTTTCACCCATGTTCACAACCCATTATGTCATTGCTAGGGATGCTTGAATCAGGAATTTATGTTGTCCAGTCGAATTTTATGCAGCCGGTTTATATGTTCATTGATCTAACCAGTTTACCGGATACTAGACCCCGGGGTTTACTGGATACTAGACCCTGGGGATTACTGCTGTCATTCTCTAAAAAGTTAAGGTGAGAACACAGGACACAGGCAGATGAGAAATATCTCGGTCGTGCAGGTTGGCACAAGGGTGCTCGGGATTAGGGATGAGCAGGGGGCGCACTCGAACATGTTCGGGTTCGCCCCCTCTCGAACATGGCCTTCTGCCGAACCGAACACTGTTTGGTTCGGCAAACGAATTGGGCGAAAAATGGTGTTCGCCGTTCGCCCTAGGAGGCGAATGAATTGCTGCAGCAGGCGAACACGAACACGTTCGAGGCGAACATGTTCGTGTTCGCCCAGGAGGATATTCGATATAGTCACACAGGTCAGAAAGCGATTTTGAAGGTTCAGGATGATAGCAAAGGGTTTGCAGGGTGTATATGTGTTCATGCAACGAAACCAGTACTACAACATCATGTTCTGTGAAGGGAAATGTCAATGTCAAACAAATTCCTACGCCAAGGCGCCACTGCTACTACCAACAACAGCATCTTCTCCACTAGCTGTGTCGTCAGCCTCCACACCCTCCTCCTCCTCATCCTCCTCCGCCCCCTCGCCCTCAATGGCGAACTCTGGTGGTGCGACGCCTCTCGGTCGGCGGCCCTCGCCTATCCTCTAGCCAGGGTGCGAACTGTACCATGATCTGAGAATCATGACAGCTCGCGTCCTCTGAAAGGCCAGGCGGTGCCGCTTCCAGGAAATGAGGTTGCGACCAAGGGAGAACACCCGCTCACTCGAAACGAACGTGGCAGGGATGGCGAGATAATCTCGGGCCATGCGCCTCAGCGTCTGCATGTTGGTGGCACTGCGCCAGTACTCTAGCGCTGTCACGTCGCACCGCACCCTCTCGGACAAGTACCTGCTAACCTCGTCATCCTGCACCATCCCACCCCCCCCCGCCTCCTGGCTCGCCGACAGACGCGCCGCAAGTCGTCGGCGACTAGGGAGAAACTGCGCGTCATCGTCGTCCTCCGCCTCGTCTCCCTCCTTCTCCTCCGCGACGGGGGCAAGTGGGGTCGGCCGGGGAGCCAGCTCTGCAGCCCGGGCCTGGTACTCGGCCACGCGGTCGCGCACCAGCTTGTTCACCTCGCCAGACGCCGGACGCGGCCTCACCCTCCTGTCGGTCTCGGGATGCAGCTTCTCCCAGTGCGCGTCGTCGAACCACGCCGCCTTCATGGATGGGTCCAAGAAGGTGGCGATCCAGTACTCATTGCTGGTGATGTAGGCGTACTTCTTCAAGTGGCTCAGCGCCGCCACGATCATCGGCTGCAGCGTCGGAGATGGCCCCTTGGCAAGGCGCGACTCCATGGCGTCGATCAGGCCGTTGTAGTACGGGACCACCATCGACACAGTCGGGTACGCCGCCCCCTCAGCTGCCTTGGAGACTTTGGCGAAGGGGCTTAGGAATGTCTTGACCGCTTGCAGGGTCTCCCAGTCTGCGTCTGTCAGGCGCAGACTCTCCACCTTCTTCTTGTCGGTCTTCGACAAACCCTGTCGGGTACAGGGAATGGTTTGGGGGGAGGTATGAGGGAAACTGTGGTTATGGAGGATTTTGGCATCCGGCCGGCAACATACAAGCTGGACCAACAGTATTGTGTAGAAGTGCTAACACACCACACCATGACATAACCACACACTACAACACACCCACACTCCCACACACCCAACCCACGCACACTCCCACTCTCACCGGAAGTGCATGCGCGAGTTGAAGAAACACTGACCACCACATTCCTCCGACATCCGCCTGAAGGCGGCAATGTTGCTAGAGGCGTTGTCTGTCGTGAAACCAAGACAACGCCCCTCCAACCCCCACTGCACAACCGTCTCCTCAACCACTTGCGCCATCTCCCTGCCCCCATGCCTCCCGAGCATCTCGCGGAACTCAAGCACCATTGTTCGCAGCTGGAAATTCTCGTCTATCCAGTGACCTGTCACCACTAGCCATGCCTTGTTGCTGGGTGCCGTCCACATGTCGATGGTGAACGACACCTTCGACCCCAACTCCCACTCCTTCGCCAGCATCTCCACAATGGCGGACTGGAGAGCTGCTGCTGCATAGACCACGGTGTCGCGGGATACCGTCCAGCGCGAGGGGATGAAGTTCTTCTGCGCGCAGTTGCGGTTTAGCAGGATCAATAGCTCCCGAAACTGGAGGGGGGTAGAGTAGAGACAACGAGGGAGAGGGTTTTCAACGTCAAGGGGATGGTTTTGAGACAAAGTGGCACACGATTACAATAGAAACATCAAATAGTCAACCACATACTGCCAAATCCCCTTCATACAGCAGGCATAGGACACTCACAGCCTCGGCCTCGACCATGCGGAAGGGGAGGTCGCAAGTGACCACCAGCTTGGCGATCGCCTGCCGTAGCTCCACCGTGGACAGCTTGGTTGTCATGAACCGCTCCATCCCGCCTGACCCCCGAGCTCCACCGGACGCCTTCCCTTTCTTCTTGGCGAGATGCGGCCAAGACTTGGCATGCAGCCACCGATCGACGTAGCCATCCGGCACACCGTTGTAGCCCCCATGAGGAAACGTCTCCCAAGGCAAGTGAACGGACGGAGTGTGGTAACGGTGATGCCACACGTGCATGTGCGCTGTGTGGTAGCTCTCGAAGTGCCGCTCGTCGAGTGTTGTTGTGGATTGCTTCCACGGAATCCTGCCAGTGCAAATCTTGCACTGACGCTTCTCATCTGCCCCTTTAGGCCCGAACATCTGTACTTGCCACCCCGATTTCTTATTACCCTTGCCAGTCCCCTTACTACTCTCGGACCCTCCATCCTCGTCTAGGAACTCCGGAGCGATCACACCCTCGCCCAAGGGCTTCCCAATGAATGTGCAGGGATACGCTCGCTCCCTCAACTTGTTCGCCCTCTTCCTCCGCTTCGGCCCCGCGCCTTAACCCCCACGCTCCCTCCTCCTTCAGCCACATGCTGTGAGGCTGCCTCTGTCGCCGCCCCTCCACCACCCTCTCCCACCCCCTCCTCCACCTCCTCTGGCTCCAACCCATCCATCTCATGCTCCTCATCATCATCCCCCCCTTCCCCACCGCCATGCGTCTCGGGATCCCACCCGGTCTCACTGTCATCCCCGCTCCCCTCATCGTCCTCATCCTCCGCGCCCTCACCCTCCTCCTCCTCATCCTCCTCCTCACTGCCACTCTCCGGCTGCGTCTGCCCAGAAGGAGGGGGTCGCGGGCCGTCGTAACGAAACGAGTGACAGGACGTCGGCCCCGCTACGGAAAGAAACCCCCCGACGAAACAAGCGCCGGCTCCTGCAGGTCCATCCCCTACTCGCCCCTGCATAGGTCGTGGTGGAGAACCTGGTGTACCGCCCTGAGCGCTGCCTGCACCTCGTTCTACAGATCCATGTTTGCCGGAAACCATATCTCCGCCCTCGGCATTAAAACCCTAAAACTCCAAAGTAACGGTTGCAAGCCACGGATAGCACGGTCCTAATTGAACTCCTAGTTACGTGTGGCACGGAGAAATGCCTGCCCCTACAACTAGAGAATTTACCGCTACAAGCTTGATCCCGTAGCTACCAACCCATAGTGTTTCTGAAATTATCTTACACTACTAACTAGTTAGATGAAATGTCAGTGTAAAAGTTAAGGAACGGTGTGCGATGGCTCTTAAAACCGCAAGGCTATGGCGGTTGTGGGAGGGAGGGCTAAGCACCAAAGTCGTTTTGAGTTTGAGCTCAAGAAATGAGCCCAAACTCAAAACGGCCGCGACCTAAATTTGGTCGCGGCCAAATTCGACGCGAACACTTTGGTGTTCGAAAACCCCCTACGCCGAACACGAACATGTTCGTGTTCGACATTCCGCGGCCTAATGTCACGCCGAACACGTTCGCCCCGAACGAATTAGTCGAAAAAAAAAAAAAAAAATGGTTCGCCTCGAACAGGCGTTCGAGAATTTGCTCAAGCCTACTCGGGATTACAGTTGAAAAAACTGAAACCCGCGTTGACTCGGGAAACAAGTAGTTTTACTAGAAATTCATGACACTTAGCGTGATGATTTTGCTACAAGTACAAAATAGTGAATTCCGTCTTAACAACGGTAAAGTCCGTTAACAACTGAAAACAAGAAACCCACACGAGTGTTCATGATTCTACACGAGCGTTCATGATCGTTCGTGAGATGACTCAGCAGGGGCATTTGGCAGACATGTATTTTGAAGAAAGTATTTTCAAGGAGGTGAAAAATGCCAAGTGCAGCAGCAGTTTGGAACCGTTCTCTAAGACAACATGGCGACGTCCTGAATTACAGTTAAACAACTGCCTCATGTTTTTCCTTTGTGTGTTATGTGTGCTTGTATTTGTTTCAAGACAAAAATGTTTTCATGCTTTTGCATTGGAATTCTACTACTACGTATTGACGAGAGTAGAAACGCTTCACAGTGGTGCCGAAAAGTTGTTCAACCAGTTTTCTCTCACACTACAAGCTAAACCAAACTTATGTTAAACCATTGTGCTTATGAGCCCTTGGCTGAGAGGCAACACCCTGTCACACTCGGAGGGTCTCAAGAGGAGTAGGTGTTGCTAGGTTCAACTTAGTAATTTCAAGTTTTTAACGCTTCTGCATAGCACTTAGCACTCAACACGTGGTATCAGAGTTTATACTTTATCGTTTTCAACTTATCCGACGATGGGGTCTCCTAGAGAAGAAATGAATTCAGCCCCCGCAAGTAGTGGTATCGGCTAGTGAGGGCTACAGAGTAGGGATGAGCAGGGGGCGAACTCCGAACATGTTCGTGTTCGCCCCCTCACGAACATGGCCTTCTGCCGAACCGAACAGTGTTCGGTTCGGCGAACAACTTGACTGAAAATAGGTGTTCGCTGTTCGCCCTAGGAGGCAAACAATTTGCTGCAGCAGGCAAACACGAACACGTTCGTGGCGAACATGTTCGTGTTCGCCCAGGGGGAATTCAATATAGTCACATTAGTCCGAATACGAATTTGAGGGTGCAGGATGATAGCAAAGGGGGTGCAGGGTGTATATGTGTTCATGAAACGCACCAACAACTACAACATCATGTTCTGTGTAGGGAAATATCTATTTCATACTAATTCCTACGCCATGGCGCCACTGCTACTACCAACAACAGCATCCTCTCCACCAGCTGCATCTGCCTCCACCCCCTCCTCCTCCTCCTCCTCGTTGTCCTCCAACCCCTCGCCCTCAATGGCGAACTCTGGTGGTGCGACGCCTCTCGGTCGGCGGCCCTCGCCGATCCTCTGGCCAGGGTGTGAACTGTACCATGATCTGAGAATCATGACAGCTCGCGTCCTCTGAGAGGCCAAGCGGTGCCGCTTCCAGGAGATGAGGTTGCGACCAAGAGAGAACACCCGCTCGCTCGAAGCAGACGTGGCAGGGATGGCGAGATTATCCCGGGCCATGCGCCTCAGCGTCTGCATGTTGGTGGCGGTGCGCCAGTACTCTAGCGTTGTCACGTCGCACCGCACCCTCTCGGACAAGTACCTTCTAACCTCGTCATCCTGCACCATCCCACCCTCCCCCCAGCCTCCTGGCTCGCCGACAGACGCGCCGCAAGTCGTCGGCGACTAGGGAGAAACTGCGCGTCATCGTCGTCCTCCACCTCGTCTCCCTCCTCCTCCTCCACAACGAGGGCAAGTGGGGTCGGTCGGGGAGCCAGCTCTGCAGCCCGGGCCTGGTACTCGGCCACGCGGTCGCGCACCAGCTTGATCACCACGCCAGACGCTGGACACGGCCTCACCCTCCTGTCGGTCTCGGGATGCAGCTTCTCACAGTACGTGTCGGCGAACCACGCCGCCTTCATGGATGGGTCCAAGAAGGTGGCGATCCAGTACTCGTTGCTGGTCATGTAGGCGTACTTCTTCAAGTGGCCCAGCGCCGCCACGAGCATCAGCTGCAGCGTAGCAGATGGCCCCTTGGCAAGGCGCGACTCCATGGCGTCGATCAGGCCGTTGTAGTACGGGACCACCATCGACACAGTCGGGTACGCCGCCCCCTCAGCTGCCTTGGAGACTTTGGCGAAGGGGCTTAGAAATGTCTTCACCGCTTGCAGGGTCTCCCAGTCTGCGTCTGTCAGGCGCAGACTCTCCACCTTCTTGTCGGCCTTCGACAAGCCCTGTTAGGTTGAGGGGAGGTAAGAGGGAAACAGAGGAAAAGGAGGATTTTGGCTTCCGGCAACATACAAGCTTGACCAACAGCATGGAGTGGAAGTGTTCACACACCCTTACAAACCCACACCGTAAAACCCACACACACCACATGTCATACCTGTGTCTGGGCAAAGAAGACAGTGATGGGGTTGTGCATAACCCTCGCTCGCTCGATCATATCGTGGGTCGGCCCCCAGTGCGTAGTACTGTCCTGCACCAGCTTCAATGCCGGCTTCGGCTAGGTGGGGTTGGCCTGCGCGTCCAAGGTCCGCTGCTGGAGGCCCAAGAAAGACCCTGAGCGCTGCGGCGAGAATCCAATGTGCGACACCATCTCTCTCAGTATCTTCAACAACTTCCGTATGGCATCCACATCTCGCGCCGCCTGCACTGCAAGGTTGATCATGTGTGCCAAGCACCTGCGCACGGAACACAACAACAATAGTGGCAAAGAGAAGGTGAAGTGTTAGGACACATGGTCAGTGCGAGCCACAAACCCATACCAGACCATACACACCCTCCAAATTGCCCCGCACCGGCCCACTCCCCAATACACCAACACATTGTCTATGGTGGATCGACACACCCACAAAAGCTCACAAACACCCACACTCCCACACACCCAACCCACGCACACTCCCACACTTACCGAAAGTGCATGCGCGGGTTGAAGAAGCACTGACCACCACCCTCCTCAGACATCCGCCTGAAGGCGGCAATGTTGCTAGAGGCGTTGTCTGTCGTGAAACCAAGACAACGCCCCTCCAACCCCCACCGCACAACCGTCTCCTCTACCACCTGCGCCATCTCTCTGCCTCCATGACGCCCTAGCATCTCGCGGAACTCAAGCACCGCTGTGCGCAGCTGGAAGTTCTCGTCTATCCAGTGACCCGTCACCACTAGCCATGCCTTGCCGTTGGGTGCCGTCCACATGTCGATGGTGAACGACACCTTGCACCCCAACTCCCCCTCCTTCGCTAGCATCTCCGCAATGGCGGACTGGAGAGCGGCTGCTGCAAAGACCACGGTGTCGCGGGATACCGTCCAGCGCGAGGGGATGAAGTTCTTCTGCGCGCAGTTGCGGTTTAGCAAGATCAAGAGCTCCCGAAACTGAAGGGGGGTGGAGACAATGAGAGAGCGGGTTTTCAACGGCAAGGGGATGGATTGGAGACGAATTGGCACACTTGTACAATAGAAACTTCAAACAATCCACCACAAACCGCCCAATCCCCTCATACAGCATGCATGTGACACTCACAGCCTCGGGCTCGACGATGCGGAAGGGGAGGTCGCAAGTGACCACCAGCTTGGCGATCGCTTGCCGTAGCTCCACCGTGGACAGCTTGGACGTCATGAACCACTTGATCCCGCCTGACCCCTCAGCTCCCCCTACCCCCTTCCCTTTCTTCTTTGTGAGGTTCGGCCAGCACTTGGCATGCGGCCACTTATCGACGCAGCCATCCGGCACACCCTTGTAGCCCCCACGAGGAAACGTCTCGTCACGCAACTGAACTCTTGGAGTGATGAAACGGTGATACCACACGTGCATGTGAGCTGTGTGGAAGCTCTCGAAGTGACGCTCGCCGGGTGTTGTTGTGGATTGCCTCCACGAAATCCTGTTAGTGCAAAGCTTGCACTGACGCTTGTCGTCTGACCCTTTAGGCCCGAACATCTGTACTTGCCACCCCGGTTTCTTATTACCCTTGCCAGTCCCCCTACTACTCTCGGACTCTCCATCCTCGTCAAGGAACTCCGGAGCGATCACACCCTTGCCCAAGGACTCCCCAGTGAATGTGCAGGGATACGCTCGCTCCCTCAACTTGTTCGCCCTCTTCCTCCGCTTTGACCCCGCAATGGACGCCCGCTTTCTCCCCACCTTAACCCCCACACTCCCTCCTCCTTCAGCCACATGCTGTGAGGCTGCCTCTGTCGCCGCCCCTCCACCACCCTCTCCCACCTCCTCCTCCACCTCCTCTGGCTCCAACCCATCCATCTTGTGGTCTTCATCATCATCACCCCCCCCTTCCCCACCGCCATGCGTCTTGGGATCCCACCCGGCCTCACTGTCATCCTCGCTCCCCTCATCGTCCTCATCCTCCGCGCCCTCACCCTCCTCCTCCTCATCATCCTCCTCACTGCCACTCTCCTGCAGCGTCTGCCCAGAAGGAGGGGGTCGACTGCCAGTGTAACGGAACGATTGACAGGATGTCGGCGCCGCTACGAAAAGAAACCCCCCGACGAAACAAGCACTGGCTCCTGCAGGTCCGTCCCCTACTCGCCCCTGCATTGGTCGTGGTGGAGAACCGAATAGCCCGCCCCTACGGCTACAACTAGAGAATTGACCGCTACAAGCTTGATCCTCTAGCTACCAACTTTAATGTTCATGAAATTACCCTAACTACGGACTAGTTAGATGAAATGTCCTTGTTAAATCTCATGAACGGAGTGCGGTGGCTCTTAAAACCGCTAGGCTATGGCGGTTGTGGGAGGGTAGGCTAAGCGCTAAATTCGTTTTGTGTTTGAGCTCAAGAAATGAGCTCAAACACAAAACGGCCGCGACCTAAATTCGGTCGCGGCCAAATTTGACGCGAACATTTTGGTGTTCGTCGCCCCCCCCCCTTCGAACACGAACATGTTCGTGTTCGGCATCGCGTGGCCAAAGGTCATAGGCAAACGGCGAACGTGTTCGGCCGAACACCGAACACGTTCGCCCCGAACGAATTAGGCGAATAAAAAAGCCTGTTCGGTTTGCCTCGAACATGTTCGAGGCGAACCGAACAGGCGTTCGTGAATTTGCTCATGCCTACTACAGAGTGCAGAGCCAGTTGGGGGCGCCTACCCTAAGGACGTCAGCACTTGGGGCATGGTTCTTTCCGGGGCTACCTTGGTACGGGCATCGTCCCGACCCGGGGTTCCGGCTGAGCCGGACAAGCCAAAAAAAAAAAAAAAAAATGGTAGCCAAGAATAGCCCGTACGAGCCAGGGCTCGTTGCTGAGGTGCTGATTAACTTCTCAGTCGACAAGTTTAGTGGAATGTGTTATGACGACTGGTCTTGGAAGATGCAGCAGTATTTTCGGCAGATATGTGTCCTACGGCGAGACCTAGTGCCGCGGAGTTTCAGAACGAGTGGGACGAGCGTTCATCCGCCGGGTACTACATCTTGTCTCAGAGCGTAGATCTCGCTCAACGCCAGTATATTATGCACTTACTCCCGAAGGAAGAGTGTGGTTCCAAGGCATGGTCCGTGGTCAAGGACCTCAATGCTCCCACCTCAGTTGTAGCTACAGTCATGCTGGAGAGAGAGCTCTCCACCCTTCGCCTTAGTGAAGGAGAACCCGTTCAGCCACAAGCTGAGAGAACTCTACGCCAAGCTCGCCATCGCCGGAATTGCCTACCCCAAACAAACCAAGTGTGTGAAGATTTTGTCACTGCTGCGGGAGTCGCGTATGATATTCACAAGCGATCTCAGCCTTTTCCAAAACCAGAGCCTTTAGAGGTTGGAATGGACTGTACCAAGATCTTCAAGGAGGTCTTCTGGAGGCGTCAACTCAGGGGAGGTGAAGAGGGGAGCAGCAGCTACGCCATGCAAGGAGGAAAAAAGGGTAGGCAAGAAATGGCAAGGGGCGGGAAGAGGGGCTCCTAAGGATGAGGAGCCCTCAAGTCAGCAAGGCGGCAAGAGAATGGGACGTGGTGGAGGCCGTGGTGCCTAAAGGGAAGGAAAATGACTTAGGAGAATGGATGGCAAGTGCTGGTACTGTGAGAGGTGGGTCATCCTTGGTTTAAATGCAGGACTAAAGCTTCTTGGTGGATCCACTCTAACAGGACCAAAGATGAAAGCGGCGCCGGAGCGGTAGCCGATGAAGAACCGGCTGAAAACGAGCACGTGAAGCCGAACAATTCTTCCATGTTAGAGAGCCGGGAAAGGATGCGGTGATCGACAATGCTAGAGCCGAACTGCACCCGCTCAACACGTGGATCTTGAATTCGGGAGCGGCAGATAGCACGACTTCAAAGGTCGAGCTTCTTGATAAAATAGGGATTGCACCGATTGCTGAGGTGAAGTCGACGTCTGGGCACGCTCTGAAGGTGACAGGGGCGGGACGTGCTGCATTCAAGAAGTGCTGATCCCGCACTTGGCCAGCTTCCGCAAGGAGATCGGGTTGACCTTCAGGCGAAAGCGGGTTTCCTGTACCCGACCCAACCTCGGTTCGTACCCCCTGGCCAGGTCAAGGTCTCCAACATCTGACCCGACCCGAACCGAACTGACCCGACCCGGAAACCCGTCTGGCCCTGCCAAGTCGGGTCGGGTCGGGCCGTATGCTCATGCCTACTCTAGTCTACCATCCCCCCTTCCACCTAACACTAGTGTGTTTCCCTCAGCCGGTTATAGGGAATAAAAAAAAATATTATATTTAGTAGGCGTTTTGTAGTAGTCTCGGTCCAATTCTGGCAGATTAGGTGCCACGGCTAGTGTGAAGAGCTCAAACTTCTCCGATCCGCCAACGTTCGGTTCTAGAGCCCCCCCCTCAAAATCTCGTACGAACATGCAAAAAAAAAAAATCATGGGAGATAGTGACTAGGTTGAGCGAATGGCCAGGCTGGGTCGGGTCGACCTGGCCCGACCCGGCTTTTTGGCACTGACCTACACTGATCAGTCTAGATGGGGTGGTATGTGCTATGGGCTGAAGGGCGCTAGAACTGGCTGAGCTCAATGTCGAGATCTGTAAAAGGGTGTGGGGGAGTTGGGTCTTGTAGATTCAGTGCGGTGATGAGTGCTAAAGCGACGGCGGATTGGTTTGAAAGTTTTGTTTCAACAATTTTGTTTGGGAGGAGGAAGTGCCTGGCTTTGCTCAGTCAACTTCATGATTGAAAGGCAAAAATGGCGATCTTTACAAATCGGCGGGCAAAATCGGTGATCCGCACAAATCATTGGGGGAAATCCCTGACCCGCCAGACAGTATATTATTTTGGCGGGTCGGACGACCCGATTTGCCATCGGGTCGATCCGACCCGCTCTCGAGTCACTTCGCCTTGCCACCACATGCGCCACAGTCCCCTCCTCCTCCTGCCTCCCACCCACCAGCACCCACAGCAGTGCCTCTCTCCTCCTCCTCGCCTTCCCCGCCCACTCCTGCTCCTCCTCCACCTCCCCCTCCTCCTCCTCCTCCTCCTCCTCCTCCTCCTCCTCCTCCTCCTCCTCCTCCTCCTCCTCCTCCTCCTCCTCCTCCTCCTCCTCCTCCTCCTCTTCCTCTTCCCCCTCCCCCCCCCCCCCCTCCTCCACCTCAGCATGTTACTCACTGTTGTCGCTCCCCCCTCGCCCCTGAAACACCTCTCGTCCTGTCCTCTTGCCCCCACACAAACTAGCTAACCACAAACTAGCCCCATGGAAGATATCTTCATCATGAACCAGTTTGTTCATACAGGCTATAGAAATAAACCGATCCAGTAACCTGCTCACTTTTGACTTATTGTTCATGTCCGCCTACTAATTGTTATCGCACTACGCTTGTGGGACATGCCCTTGTGTGCCTCAGGTTCGCTTCATGCGCGGCCAGATCCCAACGAGCGTGAACAGAGCATCAGAGTGAGTGCACACCCTCTTTGGGACAAACTCCTTGCATCTAGTGCACGTGTACTGAATATCATTCACGAGGTACTTGGCATCGCATCCTGACTTTTTGCGCTTTAGTCATCTGGGAGTAGAGGCTTAGGATGGGAACATATTGCTGCAGCATTGCTGCAACATGTTACTGTTAGCACTCAAGAGTATGATTGAATGAGCCAAGAGGCTCTATAATACAAGCATGGATGGAGGAAGAAGGGTGTGTAAGAGGAGCCAACCCTATTGGCCACTAAGTTGGCCAATTGGTGAGGTGCCTTGTAGCCTAAGCAACCACAAAATGTAGGCTGGTTCTAAGTTGCCAAATACGCTTATTGCGTATATACGCGTATCGTATATACGCTAGCGTATGTACGCTATCCGCGCAGGGGGTCGATGTGGACATACGCTTTTCCGGGCAGAGAAAAAACTTTCCAGGCAGGGTGGGAAAAAAAGTACTCCCTATTCTCACTATGACGTGCCCTAGCAGCATTATTCTGAGTCCGAACGGCGAGTGGGGCCGGAAGTGGGGTAGACATTTCAGCTAGAGAGAGAAGTAGGAGTGGGCGGGAGGAACTCTGCTGGAAGCGGAAATGAATTGTGGGAAATGACGAATTAGCAGCTGGGTTGTCTGGTAAGCAGTGTGAAAGGTTAGTTGAGGGGTCGATTTTGACAGGTTGGAGTTTGTAAAAGGGTTGGGATGGGTTTCAATGCGGTAGATGAGATGGGTTTCAATAAATGTGTATATCTGAAATTCGACATTCGCCAAATGTGCCTCACAACTTCGAAGTCAGATCCCGGCTAGCCTAGACCACGGATTTTCAATTTGACTTCGGCGAAATGCTCACCTCGAAAATCCGCAACTATTTCGCGATATTTTTTTCCCGGGCAGCCCGGAAGATTTTCTGAAAGCGTATAGCGTATTCGCAGGCGTATAGCGCATAGCGTACAAACGCTAGCGTACATACGCTATACGCTGAAGGGGTTGAGCATATTTGGCAACTTAGGGCTGGTTGGGATTGGTTGGGCTAGGGACCAAAGGTTGGCGAGTGCCAGCCAAAGGCCAAAGACCAAAGACCAAAGACCAAAGACCAAAGACCAAAGACCAAAGACCAAGGACCAAGGACCAAGGACCAAGGACCAAGGACCAAGGACCAAGGACCAAGGACCAAGGACCAAGGACCAAGGACCAAGGACCAAAGACCAAAGACCAAAGACCAAGGGCCAAATCCAATGTTGGACCAACCATAAATTGTGGTCGGAGGGAATACCCAACAACCCCCCCAAAACATAAATGACTACACTTTCCATTCGAGCCTATGGATGTAGTATAAAGTATACAATTACAACAATTACTACACGATTACTGACTCAATTGTTATTTGGGACCATCCGTGTGCGCCAGTGTTGTGTGCGCAGACCTCTCAAATGGCAAGGAGAGGCTTCCTGTCCCCGTTACCAACTGCATCGACACTCCACCCACCATGCCACCCGGTAGGTGAAAATAAGGTACACACACTCTACAATTAAGTTTGCCATAACTTGACTAAAGTACCATATGCACATTAGTTTCGACACAAACTTGTTTGAGGTTCAACACGTGCTGGACAGATCTTTGAATGATAAGAACGTTACAGACATAGTTTTGCTGCACGAAAAAAAGAATGGGCACGCTGAAGGAGATGCCGTTATCTTGTTATCCCTTACATATCTGGAATCAGTAAGCTTGTCTTCTCTATGGGTGTAGGCCTACTTACGTCATTGTCTGAACACGAAGCGTGTGCATGTATGCATGACCTTGAAGTCATGGTTTGTTTTCCATCCGGTGACGCATCAGGGTCCTCGTGCATGCTGGTAGATGTGGGCCTAGAGGGGACGGGGCATGAGAAAGAGGAGAGAGAGGAGCAGGAGGAGGGCGGCTGGGGAGGGTTGGGGGTGGCTTGGCATGTGGTGGTTTTGTTGCCTGTGTGGCTTCTCTTAGACATTAGCAAGGACTGAACTCAAACTGGTTCAGCTGGCACAGACTCCAACCAGTCTGGCGCACCCTCTAGTAGACATGAGCACAAGGGCGAACACCTGTTCGGTTCGCCTCGAACACGTTCGAGGCGAACCGAACATGTTTGTTTTTTTTGCTTAAATTGTTCGCCGAACAGTGTTCGATGTTCGCCCGAACACGTTCGTGTTCGGGCCGCTGCTGCAATTTGCCCCGCGACGAACACGAACGTGTTCGATGTTCGCCCGAACATGCCTTCACAGGCGAACGGCGAACACTTGTGTTTGCTTAAAGTGTTCGCCGAACCGAACACTGTTCGGTTCGGCAAACGGATGTGTTCGTCTAGGGGCGAACACGAACATGTTCGTGTTCGCCCCTTGCTCATCCCTACCCTCTAGTGGTGCGCCCTCGGGTTCACCCTCCGTTTCACCCTCCGTTTCAATCTCCGTTTCACCCTCCGTTTCACCCTCCGTTTCACCCTCCGTTTCACCCTCCGTTTCACCATTCACCCTCAGGTCACCCTCCGTTTCACCCTCCAGTTCACCATTCACCCTCAGGTCACCCTCCGTTTCACCCTCCAGTTCACCTTATGATTCACCCTGCCGGTTCGACCTCTAATTCACCCTTCTGGTTCGCCCTCTTATTTGCCCTCTGGCGCACCAACTGCCAGGAAACCTGGACATGATGGCAAGGGAGGGAAAGGAGGAAAGGGAGGAAAAAGGGGCTCTTCCTCTTGTTCACCCCTGGTTCTTCCGGTTCAGGCTGAACTGTTTGCAATTCAATTCAAAGCGCATCGCTTCTCTACTCATTTCTGCTCACAATGGGGTCCCCCCGTGCTGGTATGGTAACCCGTGCAGCGTTTGAGTACGTGACGGAGCGCATCATGCCCACGGGGCTCAAGCTGCATGGAGGGGCGCACAAGTGCGAGTGCAAGGGGGCGTGCAGGAGTGAGAGCAAGTGCGCGTGTGCCAAGAGGAACCGCGATGGCTTTCCCTACGTGCAAGGGGGAAGGTACGATGCCTTGTGGACTCACCTATTCTTTGCTGACTCGACTATTCTTTGCTGACTCACCTATTCTCTGCAGACTCACCTATTCTCTGCAGACTCACCTATTCTCTGCAGAGTCACCTATTCTCTGCAGTGTCACCTATTCTCTGCATACTCGCCTTTTTTCTGCAGACTCACCTATTCTCTGCAGACTCACCTATTCTCATATAGACTCACCTATTCTCTGCAAACTCATCTGTTCTTTGCAGACTCACCTATTCTCTGCAGTGTCACCTATTCTCTGCAGACGCACCTATTGTTTGCAGAATCACCTATTATTTGCAGACTCACCTATTCTCTGAGAAATCTGCATGGACTCGTGTGAACCTGCTTCTTGAAAAAAAAGGTGCTGAAACGTGGAACTTCTTGGGAGTTGGATGGAAAGAGGATTCTTGGAGCCTGAAGTGATCTGAAGTAGATTAAGATACATCCCATTGATTCTACTTATTCACGTGTGCACCCTGGCATATAAATCAGGTTGGTCAAAGCGCGCGGCATCGTGATGGAGTGTGGCCCCTCATGTGGCTGCGGCCCAGCTTGTAATAACCGGGTTGGCCAGCAAGGCCTGCGCTTCCACCTTGAGGTAGGCCGTCTTACCATTGGAGGTTGTTCGTTTTTTGTCCTTTTTTGGTCTTGCACATACAGGAGCCGCTACGCATACAGTAGTCTCTTACATAAACTGTTGCCTTCCATGCATGTTTGCTCGCAGGTGTACAAGACGGCACACAAGGGGTGGGCGGTGCGGTCGTGGGACTTGATCCCGGCGGGGGCGGTGGTGTGCGAGTACGTGGGCGACGTGCTGCCGTACGAGCGAGTGGACCACGTGGAGGACGACATGTATGTCATCGGCATCGATACCGTTCGCACCGCCAAGCTCGGCACGCAGGGCAGAGATGTATGTATCATCTAGGGGCTGAGGAAACTAATTTTGAGAGAAAGTTGCGGCTATTAGAAAGGGCGACAGTAGTCCAAGTTCAAGGAGAGCAAATGTTATCTATTGGCATTGGTTTTCTTTCAAATCGTTACAAACAAAAAAAATACTACAGCTCTCATTTTGTTTTGCGATAACACTCCCCCATTCCAACTGGCTAGCTAGTTGAGTTGTTTAGCAACTCTTTCACTTGTAGCTGCAAATAAATTACTACCCCATTCATCAATCCAGCAAAGCTCCTATTCTCATCTACCCAATTCACTCATTCCAGAAAATCTCCCATTCTCATCTGCCCCATTCCCACATTCCAAAAAGCTCCCATTCTCATCTACCCCATTTACTCATTCCAGCAAAGCTCCCATTCTCATCACCCCATTCAGTCATTCACTTACACAATTTGCTAGCTAGTCGAGTTGTTTTGCAACTGCAGAAGGCGGAAACAAAGCACCGTCAACTGTAGAAGCACAAACACAGTCAATCAACTTTGCTGGGTGTTTGTTCTTTGTATGACATTGTTTTCTTATCACATTGCTGGGTGTTTGCTCTTTGTATTCTCCCTCTTCCTGCAGCCCATGTTTGAGGACTTGGAGCATGCACTGGAGGAGCAAGCCAAGGCCAAGCCAAGTGCTAAAAGCCACCGTGCAGCGGGAAAGGCGAGCAAGGAGGGCGGGGAGGGCAGTGAGCACGAGGAGGTGCACTACGCCATCGACGGGCTGCGGCGTGGCAACGTGGCGCGCTTCATCAACCACAGCTGCTCGCCCAACCTCTTCTACCAGTCCGCCCTCTGGGACCACAAGCGCCCCGAGCTCTCCCACCTCCTCCTCATCGCCTCTGAGAACATCCCCCCGCTAACAGTAAGTGATGTCGGTTCCATTTCTCTTTTCCTTCCTTCAACCTCCTTCCCCTTCCTGTCCACACTGTAAGTCCCGTTGTTTCTGTTTCCACACCCTCCTGGCTCTGCTTTTAGTCTGTTATTATTTGTAAGCCCTACTGATTGACATTATATCTTTCATTTTTTGCAACACCTTGTGTAAGTCCATCTGTCCTCTCTCCACTCTCTCCCTGCCCAAGTCCATCTGACCTCTCTCCACTCTCTCCCTGCCCAAGTCCATCTGACCTCTCACCACTCCCTCCCTCCCAAGCCCCTCTGTTGTTCTCACCACTCCCTCCCTGCCCAAGTCCATCTGCTCCTCTCTCCACTCTCTCCCTGCCCATGTCCATCTGTTGCTCTCACCACTCCCTCCCTGCCCAAGTTCATCTGTTTCTCTCCCCATACCACTCGCTTACAGAGTAGACTAAAAAAACAGCATGGCAAATGTTGCTTGGAAATCATATCGTCTTGATAATCAGACTTGCGCGAACTTCAACCCTAGCTCAAATAGAATCTTGCTTTGTTCACCCAGATTGCAGAGGGTGTCTCAAAACCAAAGTTGGGCCCAAGCAACTTGGTTCCAAAGCTTTGAGCTTGCCATGTAGTATGACATGTTGACTTGTTTTTGTCTTTCTCTGCACTGCCTTGTAATCGGGCCCTCAGATTGGTTTTGGGCTAGTCTGAAAATTCAGAGTTGGTACATGACTTAACTCTGAAAATCAGAGTTTTTCCTGCAGAAATACCACTGCACACTAGAAAAAATCGCAATTTTCCTGGTATTTCTAAAAAAAAGGCTGAATTTTCAGAGTTCACTTCGAAAAAAAGGCTGAAATATCAGAGTTTTTAAGGCAAATCAGAGAAATTTCTCTGGCTTCTGGGGGCCTGCTTGTAATGCAGGAACTGACCTACGACTACAATTACGAGGTTGGCAGCGTGATGGATGAAAATGGTGAAGTGAAACAATTGAATTGTTGCTGTGGCGCTGTTGACTGCCGGGGTCGGCTGTATTGAGTTGAGACGATGTTGACAGCTGAATTTATTTTTGGAGATTTATATTTGTGAAGTGTTGCTGACACGTGTACTTCCTTTTCCGGGATGTAGGACCCGGGGGACTTACCTCAAATTCAAGAAATAAATGCTTGGGTGAACAATATCGAAGGCGTTTCTAGACAAGATATGTTGATGTAATAGAAGGATCTTTAGTGGACAGGATAAGCCTTGCTTAAGAAGTTAAGATAGTGGAAGTATTTGAGGTGTATTTGTTACAAAGAGTAAAGATAACAATATGAAGAACAAAATAGTACAAATTACTTATATAGCTTGTCCTAGCTAGCTATATACCCTAAGAAATACATTCCCTTCTTTAACTGTTTTGCAGGCATTGCTACAGTTGCAACGTGTAAGGAAATTTTCAGCATTCCTTACCGCGTTCTTTGTCAAATTACATTTGTATGTGTAGGCTGTAGTGGGGTAGCCTCTACTGAGTACAACACTTTAGGTCAAACATAGTACTTGTACTCATCCTTGCTTACTAGTCAACCATTCCTGCACAGTTGATTGTGACATGGTACCGTCAGGCCCCGTATAGTAGCGCCCCTGGGGGTATAAAAAAACACTGTTTTTTAGGGGGTGCGCTCATAATCGAGGAAATTTATAAGCGCCGGCGTTTATAAAATGGCAAAACGAATTTCTATCTGTTTTACACCAAACTGTAGATCTCGTTCTGCCAATTGTAATCGAGTCGAAAACATATGGGGTCGCGAATCTGATTCTCGCGCAACTTGGCAGGGAGTGATTCCCTGCCAACTCAAACTGACAGAATGACAGCACATGCTGACTAGACGCGCAAAAGTTGAGATCACAGAGTGGGAAATCTAGTTTGTAGTTCATTTCCTTGATAATGTGAAATTCGTTTCTGCATTTCGTCAGGTTTTCAAATGAAAAAAAAACATGCGCTTATAATAAATCATCTTTTTTTAAGGGGGTGGGCTTATAATCGAGGACCGGATATAAGCGCCGTCATCCTTTTATAAGCGCCAGCGCTTATCCGAGGCATGCGCTTCTATCCGGGGCCTTACGGTATTCAGAGCAGGAAACCTGTTAGGTTTTTAGGGCCCACCGATCGTTCCTCGAGTTCCTGCCCGAAGCGCCCTTGCGCTGTCCGGCCCTCTCGCACAGTGTCACGCTGCCCTGCAGCTACTCGCACTGCCTGCCCTAGCACGCTGCCCTGCTGTCACGCGCGCCCCTGCTGCCCGCGAGCAGCTCCTGCCCCGCGCGCCCCTGCTGCCCGCGAGCGGCCCCTGCCCACGCGCCCCTACTGCCCGCGAGCGGCCCCTGCCCCGCGCGCCACTGTTGCCTGCGAGCAGCCCCTGCCCCGCGTGCCCTTGCTGCCCGCGAGCAGCCCCTGCCCCGAGCGCCCTTGCTGCCCGCGAGCAGCCCCTGCCCCGCGCGCCCCTGCTGCCCACGAGCAGCCCCTGACCCGAGCGCCCTTGCTGCCCGCGAGCAGCCCCGGCCCTGCGCGCCCCTTCTGCCCGCGAGCAGCCCCGCAGCCCAGAGCGCCCCGCAGCCCTAAACGCGCCAGCGTGCCCCGCTGCTAAACGCGCCAGCGCGCCCCTCAGCCCAGCACGCCAGCGCGCCCCGCTGCTAAGCACGCCAGCGCGCCCTGCAGCCTAGTGCGCCAGTGCACCCCACAGCCCAGCACGCCAGCGCGCCCCACTGCGAAGCGGGCCAGCGCGCCCCGCTGCTAAGCGCTGCCCCGCAACCCTACATAATAATAATCATCATTAGAAAAAAAAAAAAAAAAAAAAAACCCAGCGCGCTACTGCTGCACACGCTGCTGCACATGCTGCTACTGCTGCGCTGTGCCCTGCTGAGCAGCGCTGCCCAGGCCGAGCCGTGCCGCCCAGCCCGAGCCGCCCTCCTGCTACTACTATTGCTGCTGCTGCTCGTGCTACTGCTGCAGCTGGTGGAGGTGCTGCTGGGAGTGCTGGAGGAGCCGCCGCCCAGCCCCACCGAGCCGCCCTGCTGCTACTACTGCTGCTGCTGCTACTCGTGCTACTACTGCTGCTCCTGGAGGTGCGGCTGGGAGTACTGGAGGTGCTGTTGGTGCTGGAGGTGCTGGACCTACTACTGACCGTCACTGCCTGTCATGGCCACTATCACGGCAGTTGCAGCGGCTAGGGGTGGACAGCAGTGGTCACTCCCTCTCCCAGACGACCCCACCCCTCAGTAGCTTCGTGAGTGGGTTATTCAAAGAGGTAGTCCTGGTGGTGGATGTTTTGTTTTTATGTGGCCTCAGCGACCTCGCGACTGTGCTTCTCAGCGATGCGTCCCTGGTCGTGTAGAGGCTGCTACTCTCGGTTCTAGTGAGTTTGCTGTCGCTCCTAGTGCTGGTGAGTCTGCTGCAGTTCTAGGTGCTCGTGAGTCTGCCGATGCTCTAGGTGCTAGTGCGTCTACTGCCACAGGTCCTGCCTCAGCTAAGGCCTTGCACACTTTCAAGCTTGACTCAGGCGCGTCACGTTGCTTCTTTCGTAATTGCACCACAGTCACACCACTCGCAGCACCTGTCCCAGTCTCACTGGCTGACCCCCAGGGGACCCAGTAGTTGCGCGAGCCTCCACTGTCCTCCCGTGTCTGGCAGTCCCCTCCGGGTCTCTCTCAGGTCTCCACCTCCCCACGTTCTTGACGAACTTGTTGAGCAATGCAGTTCTCCAGGATTAATGGGTTGACACCTTCATTCCTGGAGGACAGTGTATGGCGATCTGTAAGTGCTCATGGACCGGCCGTCACCCCGCTACGTTCACTCGTCAGCCTGGGTCCAATCTGTACACCCTGACCACTGCGTTTGCACAGGTGGCTGAGTCAGGTCAGGTGGCTGCGTCGAGTCGGGTGTTTGCGTCTGGTCAGCTTGCAACGTCTTGATCGTGTTGGGTACTCTCACACTAGACTCTCCTCTGGCACCACCGCCTAGGTCACCCCTCGCTGCCGCGTCTCCGCAGCATGCACTCCTGTCTCCTTGTCTCTGGCCTTCCTGGGTCCCTGCCCTCCCTCCAGCGCTTGCCTGCTCCGCCGTGCCTTCTGTGCGTCGAGGGGGGCAGCGCGCCGCTCCTCACTCCTCCGAGTTTCCTCCGACCACTGCTCCTCTGCAGACTCTCCACATGGACGTTTGGGGCCCGGCCCCCGTCGGTGGGACGGACCAGGAGCGCTACTTCCTGCTGGTTGTTGACGACTACACACGCTACACCACTGTCTTCCCCTTGCGGTGCAAGGTGGACGTCAGCGGTGTTTTGATCCACTGGATCCGTGCTACTCGTCGCCAGCTGTGCGAGCGGTTTCATCGGGACTTCCCAGTCCTGCGTCTGCACTCTGACAGGGGCGGTGAGTTCTCTTCTGACCTCCTTGCAGAGTTCTATCGAGATGAGGGCATCCGCCAGTCGTTCACGCTTCCGGCCTCTCCTCAGCAAAATGGGATCGCTGAGCGTCGCATTGGCTTGATCATGGAGGTTGCTCGTACCTCCATGATCCATGCGGCTGCTCCCCATTTTCTGTGGCCATTTGCGGTCCGATACGCAGCGCATCAGCTCAACCTCTGGTCCCGTGTCTCTGAGCCAGAGACCTCGCCCACACTCCTGTGGACAGGGAAGGTTGGCGATGCGTCGGTGTTTCGGGTCTGGGGCGCGCTCTCCCTTGTTCGCGATGCCAAAGGGAGCAAGCTCTCCTCTCACACTCTCCGTTGCGTCTTCCTTGGCTTCCCCACCGACACCCCACCGTGGCAGTTCTACCACCTGCGCGAGCGTCAAGTCTTCTCCTCCTAGGACGTCACCTTTTACGAGTCTATCTATTTCTACAGGCTACACCCTCACACGTCCCATCCGGTCCCCATAGCGCCTCTTTTCTTGGTACCAGTCCCCCCCCCGATAGACCCCCTCCCCCCACAGGGTCCTGCTCCCTCAGGTGTGTCTCAGGTAGACCCACCCCCCTTGGTTGAGCCTTTGGAGATTTCATCTGGCTCCTCTGGCCCAGCTGAGGGGGGTGACCCCGCCGCTGACGACACGGCGACCACTCGCCGCTCTCCACGCTTGGAGACCCCCCCTGGTTTTCCGCCTCAGCCATCTTCGCCGCCTCCGCAGCCTGCTGCTGTGGACTCTGGAGCTGAGACTGCTGGTGCTGAGCCTGGGGGTGCCGAGACAGAGGGTGAGGGTTCAAGGGGTGCTACGACTGGGGGTGCTGCGATTGGGGTTGCTGGTTCTGGGGGTGCTGCGTCTGGGGGTGCTGACTCTGGGGGTGCTGCAAGTCCTAGTGGCGGTGGAGCTGTGGGTGACCCTGCTGGAGGTCCTGGAGCTGGACAGCCACCGCAGCCTGATCTACTTGAGACGCTCTCGCCGCAGGCGATTCGTGCGTGGATCGTTCGGCGAGGCAGTCTT